TGGGATCAGCTGCTGCGTTAAGTTCGCAAGGGGTAAGCAAACCTTGCTTGAACAGCGCGAGGAACTTGGCGGACTCGTGGTCCTGCCAAGAGACAGTAAATGCTTCTGTCTCCTCCTCCTCCTCCTCCTCCTCCTCCAAGTCGCCAGCCCTGCTCCTCTCGCCCGTTCGCTGCCTCACCCGCCTCCCTTCCCCTCTTCTCACCCCCTCGCTCTCTCCTCTTGCACACCAACAGCCAGCACGCTCCTCACCTGAGTCTCTCGGTACTGCACCGGAGCTCCTCCTAGCGAGTCGTCCAGCTCGACTGTCTTGTAAGCTGCAATACCCTGAACGAGTTCCCCCAGTCAGCTCCGGTCGAGGCGAGGCAGACGGTCCAGGGGATCAGGGACGCCTCTCAGCCCCACGCGCATCTCACCATCTCGTCGACGGAAGACTCCTTCCCTAGCCAGAAGTGAAGGTCCCACTGCAGCACAGTTCCCCGTCAGCCGCACTGTCGCTGTCATGGCAGGGAGCTACCTCGTAGGACCCGCCCTTCGTCTCAATGGTCTTGAGACAGATGTAGCTGTTCGGAGGAGGAGAAGTTAAACTAAAGCCGCCGACGCGTGCAGGAGGTTACCTGTCTCCAGTGTAGAAGGTGCCGAACTTCTCCTTTGGCCATGGCTGGTAGCCGACAAGGCATGTTCAGCATGTTCCCTTCAGCATGCCTCGCAAGTTCGAACCTTGGGGACCTTGTTCTCGATCCTCCAGATCTCCAGTCCAGGAGCGGATCCTGCTCCACTGCAAGGCGCTCAGGATCAGGAGAGCAGAAGCAAAAGAGGGCACGGAAAGATCCTCACAGAAACTCCGGATGTTTGCTCATTGTTCAGCAATAAGCCTGGAAGGACACCATTTGGAGTCAGCCAGGCCATCGTAAGTACCCGAGTGAAAGCAGATGGTGAAGAATAACTTGTTGAAGATTCGGCAAGGGTTTTCTACTATAATACCATGCATGTTGGAGATTCGGCAAGGGTTTTCTACTATAATCCCATGCATATCTACTGAGAGGTCCTTATCATCCGCTACCCAAATCCCGAGATTGCAATTGTGCCAGCTTTGGTACGTCACCGATGGACTCCCTTCTCTCACTCAGTTCTCAGTGGTTATGACCTCAGAGTCAATATATTCCCGGCTGAGAGCTCGGAGCCACCCTCCTTCAAACAGGGGTCTGCTCGCTTGCACTTTGCTACATCTGTTCCTACTTGTACACCTGTCGGTGATCCTCCTCTTCCCCTCATCCTGCCTTTGCCTCGCATCACAGTCTCACTCTTGACTATCCTGCATAGATGTCTCTATCCTCTGTCCCGTATCCTCCCTTCCTCCTGCTCGTCCTGCTCGTCCTATGGATCTCCCTGGTCTTGCTCGGTAACATTTACTTCGCCATCCCGTCGCATCATCACTCAAGTCTGTACCCCCTTCACAAAGTACCCCATCCTTTTTCAGTACCCACCCTCGACATGATACAACATTTGTCTGCTCAGTGGAGGTACTAGGTCATCGGATTCATACCCTACCCCCTGTGATCCTCGGGCCCCGAAACTGATTACCATTTTTTTTAAAAGGACAAATCTGTGTCATTCATAGAGATTAAATATTCTTTTTAATTATATGTACAGGTCTTTGTACCAAGGAAATATATATATATTTCTATATACATCATAATACAAGTAAAAACATTTTAAAATCATATATATCGTCCAAATCATGCACAATGGTACAATCAGTCTAATAATATATAACTTTTAGCCCCGTACAAAATCATAAAAACATTGTTGGTTTTAGCTAGCTGCCCCCGGCATGCCAACTGACCGAGATACCTCGGGCCCGGACAGTAGCCCTCATCCCCACCCTCAGCCGACATATGCCGGCCGATCATGCCGGAATTAGTGCAATGTTGAAGGGAAACGAGGGAAGAAGAGGATGAACGACAGAGAGGATGAGGTTGCGAGGAGCGATGGTTGTGGGGGGATTCTAGGTAGTCAGGTAGGAGGAGACTTGAGGGAGAGGCAGAGAGGACGACATCTGTTTGCTCAAAGGCGCTACTGACTGACTTTGCAGATTTTAGACGAATCCTCTTGAAGGAGAAAGAGCTTTCCCTCAGAGCGAAGGTCTTGTCTGACATGCTACCTTCCATTGAGGTTACGTCCCCCCTGGTCTGATACTCTCATCTGATCCTGCTTGCTTGATAGGAAAATGCTCTCAAGCCTGGAGGGATGGTTCGGTGCATGGAGAAGAAGGTTATCCTTGCATGATGTCTTCCTGTCTGGGGCAGTGTTTCTTTGTCGACATGCTCTGTTCTACTCCTGCATGTTTCTGAAATTGGAGTGTGTAGGGCGATGAATACCTTTTGAGCCTCCTTTACCTCATAGCTGGCATACTTTGTTTGGTGGCGGCGTTCGGACACGGCGATCAGGTGGCTGCCTCTGTTTGACTCTCAGTTTTCTGACCTTTGATCGTCCTAACTTGATGAGGGCAGTTCTGTGCTCAACCTGTAAGTGCTTCTGACTATTTGCACAACATCGCGTAATTCCCTTGTGTGCTGCAGAGCCCGTCAATGCACCACCCTTCAGGAGGTCGCCGTCTGCTACAGCATGTAACATTCAACAGCGTCTTGCACGCCATCTCTCCTATCTCACTTTCTGTACAGCCAACTGTCTCTCTCCTCCAGAACTCTTCAAGCTCTGACACTACGGCTGCTCCTGCGGACACCAACAACGCTTTCATCGGTCCTAATGGACTGGTGGTTGCCTGGCTCAAGGTTGAAGGCTTCACTGGTGACATAAACTTTCCTTCTCTGTACTTGTGCATTCAATGCCATGTTTTGACAAAGCTTCCTTCTTCGGCAGCCTTGGGATTGCCTTTCTTGTATGTTCTCATATTCTCCAACCAACTCCAAAACAGTATTCCGGCAAGGTGATGGAAATGGCAAGAAAGTTATGAAGTGGAAGAAGCTGATGATATTTGCTCTTCTCAGCATCCTCTTGTACTTGGTTGCTGCATTTCAGGCTGTTTGGTTGATCATCGGCTGTGTGTGGTCCTTTGGCACGTCAATCCCAGCAGAATGTCAAAAGGTTTGTCTTCTCACCGACACGTTTTAAATTTTTCATCCATCGTGCTTCAATAGTAATTGTCCGTTTTTTGCTGAATGTCGGCTGGAAACCAGGGCTCCATGGGCGATAATTTTGCATTTCAAACCATGTGGTGAACTAGAACAAGATCGTGTAAGTAGATCCGATTGACTTTTTTTTTTTTCCAACCTCAGGTGGGTTTGTGCCTTCTGGCTGGGCTGCATGGTCGTGATATGTGGGATACTTGGAAGCATAGTGTGAGCATCAATTCCATCAATTTCCTCATAAATCTCTGCCATGACTGACTCCGTCTACCAGCTGCTGTTTCCTCGGCGCGGCCGCGTCTGCCAAGTTACAGTCGTCAGAAGCTGATTCTACAAGGTACGATTGACCGTTCCAGCCGTTGAAGTGCAGCGGTCTCTCCATCCCCAATCTTGACATCTCTTCCAACAGATACACTCAGATAGCTCCGGGGCAGTGATGTCAGTGCCACTGCGGCCCCGGAAGACGCGGCCTCCGAGGCAGGCTGCGGCCGGCGCGGCCAACCTCGGATGCTCAGTATCGGTTCAAACTGGCAGGACACTGGACATTTTTTCGACCCGTTCCCTCCGCAACCCTTGCTAAGTTGAGCTCTCCGAGCCCACTCCGAGCTCAACTGAGGTCTCACTGGCCAGCCATTGGCACTTTGGCAATTCAGTGGCAACCACGGCGCCTGTGATCCGATGTCGCCGGGCCTCCTCGGCCGCCGCGAGTGATCGGACTGAGCCTACTGTGACAGCCGGCGGCGGCTCAGTCTCTGAGGCTCCGGCCCGCCACCGACCGTACCGTACGGGCCAGCCTGGCGGCTAAACCGCCGGAACGCCGGCAAGTTGTTTGATAGAATCACGTTATACGAATGTACACCGCCGCCGGCGGCGCCGGGTCAACGGTTGTGTTATTTCGGTTTCCCAACTGACGGCCGCGTCAGCCTAAGTTTGCCGACACCGTACCGTACCGTACCGTAGTAACGGCGTGCAGCCGCCGCGTGCCGCGCCCCGGGCGCACTGCGTCATCCGCGGGGGCCATCGGACCGTGAGTTGAAAGTGAGTCTTCTTCAGTTAAAAATCAGTACGAGGACAATCAGGAGACTCGGTAGAGGAGGCTTGAACGGTGAGACGGTCCGCCAGCGGATCCAGAATCATTGGAGTCTTTTCAACTACTCTGTCAAGTTTACCGGCGGCCCGGCCCCCGGCGGCCCGGGCGGCAGGCCGCCGGGCCGGGGCCGCCGGGTGGGTGTCGAACTTTAATCACTGAGTGAAGGGCCGGGCCTGGGTACTGAAATGGTTGAGGCGGATCAAGTTGCTCTCGGGGGTGCTCACCACCTACCACCACCTACCACCACCTACCACCACCACCTACTACCACCTACTACCACCTACCCCTACCTACTTCCACACACAACCACCTACCACGACCATATTCACTCTCTGAGTACCCCACCCATTTCTTATGTACCCCCACCCCATTTGACAAGGACCATCAACCGGTTGTTATGACCGAGGAGAGGCTCATAACATACTATATCACATATCGTCAGTGCTCTTCACCCCCTCTGACACCCTATCACCCCCATGTTTTCCTCCGATTACCTACCCCACCGTTGTTATTATTAGTCAAAAGAGCATACAAGGAGGGGTATAAAATACCACCCTACCCTCTGGCAAAATCAGTCCCTGAGTACCCTACCCCCTACTGCCCCGCATCTGCCTCTTCAGAGGAGCAGCGCTCAGTGACCCTTCAGTCGCCATGTCCGCCGAGGTGAGTGGAACGTAGATGAACATGCAAGGACGAAGCGCCGATGGTGCAGCGAGATGCTTCAAAGCAGCAGCAGACATGGTTAGAGCTCCGTGTGACGAGAGCATAGTAGCTTCTGCTGGATTGAAGGAGGGAGGGGAAGCGAGACGAGGTTGGACAATGAGCTAGAAGGCAGTGGTTGAGGAGTTGTTATGTGAGAAAGGGCGGACGGGGTCAGAGGAATTAGGTCAGGATCAGAAGCATGTCGATGATGTTGATGAATCCTTAATGTTTTCCATTGCGATGGGAGATCTTTCTCCCCGTGATCTGCTGGTGTTGTCCTATCTGTCGAAGAGTCTCTTTCCTGCATCTCCATAGGGTTGGATTTCTATGGGCATAGCATACCATTGAAACATGCTACGTCGATGAGTTCATGTTGTCTGATGCATTTCTTGTCGGATTTCAGGAAGCGAAGGAGCCGAAACTTGAAGATCTCAAGGATCTCAACATGGACAACGTCTCTGCTCTCATCGTCAAGTGGGTCAGCCCAGTCGAGCAGGTTTCTCCTTTCAAGCTCGGCGACGTGCAGAAGACCATCGCACAGATGTAAGGCTTTCTTAACCGGATCATTTCTCCGCTGACGCGCTCGTTAGCCACCAGGAGACCGGAAACGCTGTTGCTCCCTTCTTCGTGGCTGGACAGATTGTTTTCCTCCTCCTCTTCCTTGCCTACTTTGTCATGGGAATCATCGCTCTCTGCCTTGACTTCCCTGCCATGGATGCTCCCTGTGCCAAGGACTCGTGGGTCTGGCTGTACGTTCTCCTCGTCGTTGTCATCCCGACCTCGGTTGGTTTTGTCATTGGAATGGTCCAGACTGTTATCCAGTGGATCTCTTCCAGCAGCCCTGTGAAGTTCGAGGTGCCTGACATCTACTTCTCTCTGCCTGCTCCCATCATCTACATCACCCTCGGAGTCCTCGGCATCGTCCTGTGGGCCAACATGTCCGAGCAGTGCGACACCTTCTACGCACAGAACCACGGCATGCTCCTCGTTATCTTCCACATCCAGGTCAGGCTTGCTCACTGCGTCGTCTCCTGTCTCACTGCCCTGCAGGTCATCATCATGTCCGTGGCTGCATTCCTCGGCCTCGTCACTGTGTGGGTACAGCTCATGGTTCTCATCCGAGGCTGGACCAACCAGGTGGGACCGAGCGGGAGGGCAGCGATGGCGACTGACGTTGTTTGGCAGAGTCTGATCCCCTTCTCCCCAAGGAGGGCGGAGACAAGAAGAACTAAACTCAATAGTGCTTGGATTCGCATGCGTTGCTGTGGCCCTTCCTCCGAAGTTCTCGTCGAGGAGGGGACGGGGGTCTCTCGTCCAACAGCCACTGTATCATTTGCCGTGCTGGTTTATTCAATTAAACACATGTCTGTTGAACAAACTCAGATTCGTTTGATCTCCTTCTCAGCCCTTCTCTCCTCCCTCCTCTCAGCTGCTCTCGGCCTCCTCCCACTAGTTCTTGATCCCCATCGCGCTCTTGAGCTTCGACCGGATCCGGCTGAGCAAGGTCAGATCTTCTCTTCCCTCTCCTCACATGGTCACCTGAAGACGTTGAGAACATGCTGCGAGCTGTGCTCCCGCGAGCCCTCTGTGCCCAGTCACATTTTGACCGAAGAGGACGACACTTACCTCTTGCCCAGTCAAGGGCGACCCTTCCTTGCTTGTCAGCAGCACCTGGGGGTCCGTAAGACGAGCGGGTCGAGGAGGAGAGCACAAGTCACTTGGATCAGCTCCTGCCGCCAGGAGGGCATCGACGACGAGCTCATGCCCCTTGAAGGCTGGAGAGAACAGTGAGAGGGAGGAGGGAGGGATGGCGAGTGAGTGAAGGAGGGAGGGAGGGAGGGAGGGAGGGAGGGAGGGAGGGAGGGAGGGAGGGAGGGTCAGAGAGAGGAAGTGCATGGGGAGAAGGAGGTGGTCTGGTGGGGCTGGGGGGGGGGTTTGGAAGAGAGAACGACTGGGGAGGAAGGAGGAGGGTATCATGAGCGAGAGGGCAGGAGAAGGAGTCGATGCAGTCACATGCTGTCATCAAGGCAGTGTTCCCGTCTGAGTCCCTGGCGTTGACTTTGGCTCCTCCTGAAATCAGAGCCCTGACGACCTGAAGCAAGGAGGGTGAGGAAAGCAGGGGAGGACGCGGAGGAGGACGAGCACGTGGAGATGTCCTTCGAGGGAAGCAGCAGTGAGAGTCGTCCAGCCGTCGGAGTCTTGGATATCAGGAGACGCTCCTCTGAGAAAATGTGAGGAAGGGTCGAGGAAGAGGGGAGGAGATGAAGGCGAAGAACAAGGAAAGGAAGGTTGAGGTCGAGGTGTGGGGTACGAGGATCGAGGGGGATGGAAGAGGAGGGGGACAGTTTGTCGCAGTAGCGGAACCTGTTGAGCAGCGCTTGGATCACACGAGGTTTGTTGCCTTTCGATGCCCATCTTAGCGCCTGCGCTGCTGTCAACCTCCATCCTTCGCTCTTTCTCCTCCTCTTCCTCCTCCATCCCCCGCTTCCTCCTCCATCCCCCGCTTCCTCCTCCTCTTCCTCCTCCTCCTCCTCCTTCCCCCGCTTCCTCCTCCTCTTCCTCCTCCTCCTCCTCCTCCTCCTCCTTCCCCCCTGCCTCCCTCACCGTCCACCCGTCCTTGTCCCTCAGGTCCGGATTGGCCCCGCTGTCCATCAGCAGCTTAACAGCTGAAACGTAACTGCAAAAACGATAAGCAAGACCAGCTCCCCTGCATGCAGAAGACGAAGAGAAGGAGGGAGGAAGAGAGGTAATCAACCGAACTCACCCCCCAAACGAGGCTCCCATCAGTGCCGTCCGCCCGCTCCTGTTCTTGGCGTTGACCGAAGCACCTGCGAGTCAACTTGTGAGGAGGGGCGAAGGAGGGAAGCAAGAAGTAGGATGACGCATGGAAGGGGTGAGAAGCGAGAGAACTGCTAAGTGAGAGTGCTGATCTGTCAGGAGATACAACAGTGTGGGAGGAGGGAGAGGTCGTTGAGGACGGGAAGGTAGAAGGCGAAGGGAAGGGGAGGAGGAGGCAGGGGGAGGAAGAGGACGGGCATGCGAAGAGGGATCGAGATCTGTCACACCTGCTCCTATCAACAAACGGAGGCATCCCACACGTCCTGATCCCGCAGCACCCATGACAGCATTCCACCCCGACGAGTCTTGAATGTCTGCATCCGCTCCCTTGCCCAGCAGCTCTGCCACCTGCACTCCCAGCTCAAGAGAGGGTTGAGCCGCAGATGGGAGGAGAGGGACAGAAGAACAAACGCAACATCGAGAGGCAAAGAGCAAGATTAAGAAGGTGGCGCCAGGGCTGGATGGAGGGTGTGGGCCAGCAGGAGGGGAGGACGAGAACGAGAGGAGGTGGAGGAGGAAGAGGAGGAAGAGCCAGGTCAGCTCGGCTCGCAGCGGGCCATCACCACAGCATCTTGTCCGGCCTCTGCAGCTGACATCAACGCCGTCCTCCCCAGCCTGTCTCTGCAGGAAAACAACGAGAAGCAGAGAGTCTCAGAGAAAAACGAGGCCTCCTCCTTCGCTCCTTCCACTCTCGCTCCCTCCGCCTCCTCCCTCCGCGTCCTCTCGCGCTCCCCTGCTCACCGATAGTTGACGGAAACTCCACCCTTCAAGATCTTTCGAAGTGTAGCCACGTCACCATACGAAGCAGCATCTGCGCCAAACCAACATGAGTACACTTGGATGGTGAGTAAGAGGGAGAGGGTGTGGGAGAGGTGGGAGAAGGAGAGAGGAGGATGGCAGAGAGGAAGTCGAGTTCTCGGGGAAGAGTAGGAGAACGAGCACCGATGAGCTTCTGCGTTGGCTTCAGGATCTGGGTTCTACGAGTCCTTGTGCTCATGCTGGTAGAGGAGGGTCAGTCGGAGACTCTCCTGCACTGCACTCGCACCTGCTCCATGCCAGCCAGATTGACAGCAGCCCAAACACAGCCAGAGCAGCGATCGATGCCACCATCGACCTTGATGGGCGAAATCAAGGAGAGGAGGGAGCAATGAGTCGATTGTAAAGATTGAGTGCAAATGAGGTCGGGGAGAACGGATAGAGATCGAGGGGGAGGAGAGGAGAGGAGAGGAGAGGAGAGGAGAGGAGAGGAGAGGCGAGGCGAGGCGAGGCGAGGCGAGGCGAGGCGAGGAGAGGAGAGGAGAGGAGAGGAGCGGAGAGGAGAGGAGCGGAGAGGAGAGGAGAGGAGAGGAGAGGAAAGAGTGTATGAGAGCAGATGGACAAGGAGGAGTGGAGGGTAGTGAGTGCGCTTGTTTGTGGACGGCAGGAGTAGCAGTACCGGTTATTGAAAGACCCCCGGAAAAAATTCTCGACCTGAGAGAATGTCTTTGTGTTCCTGGGCGACAACAGTTACCTCCTGCTCTACCATCCTGCCAGCTGGAAGCACCTGATGTGATAAAGCACGCCATCCACTCTGTGTCTCCACCTCATGTTTGACAAGGAGAGTAGGGAGTACGGGTCAGCACGACGAGCAGGGGCCTTCTCTTCCAGCGCTCCGCTTCTAGCTCCTCACTGCCTTGCCCCGTTGAGGTCAAGCCATCCCTTCAGCGCACCCACGTCTCCTGGCTCACACGCCTGTGAAGGACTAGAAGTCAGGCGCAACCCCAACCCTGCTGCTTTCTCCCCCTTCCTCCCCTTGCTCTCTCCTTCTCTTCTCTTCTCTTCTCTTCTCTTCTCTTCTCTTCTCTTCTCTTCTCTTCTCTTCTCTTCTCTTCTCTTCTCTTCCCTCCCTTAGCTTCCCTTCCCTCCCCTTCCCTTCCCTTCCCTTCCCTTCCTCATTGTTCGTAATGGCTTTTCTCCCACGCCATTGTGACTCAGCAACTGACATCATCCCCCTCTTCCTCATGAGAGCTCACCCGAGTCCGCCTCCTCTGATTTTAACTACAAATTCAAAAGTTATCATTCAAGAACTACCTTACTTAGCTAACTGAAAAGGGTAGAATGTTTAGATCTGAGGCGGGGTACAAGTAGGGTGCATGCCCCAATTTTTACTCCTGAGAAGTTATAAAAGCCTCTTTTGGGGTGGTAGGGTACTGACCCCACCGTACTAATGAAATCACTTTTTACCTATGAAGTACGGGTAATCTAAGGGTCTCACGAAACAAGGTAGGGTGAGAGTGTGTGGCATGGCGGAGGCGGCGGGTGTAGCTTCGTTGCGAAGCATGCTGGACCAGAAGGTGAGCGAAACATGTCGATCTTTCATGGGTGAAGCCTTGATATGATCAGTGAGAGAAGAGGAGCAGAGGAGCAGAGAGACACGAGAAGAGATCAAGGGGTGAGTGGGGTGAGGGCGGAATGAAGGAGAGGGCGAGGAAGGGGAGGGGAACCGAAGGGCTTGTATGGATGATGATGTGATCTTGCCATGTCGTGGAACCCACAATATGATCATGTTCCTTGAAGCTTTGTGTGCTTTGTTTTACACTCATGAAATGCTTTTCTTCTTTCAAAGGCACCCCACTACAACAGCAACCAACGGAGCTACTGTACAGACTATACTTTGAAACGATACCTGCATGCTCGAAAGTTTGATGTTGCTAAGGCGTTCAACATGCTTACGGCCACGCTGGCATGGAGGAAGGATTTTGATGTCGAATCGATTAGCATGCTGAAAGTTCGAGGCAATGGCGAAACAGGGAAGGTGGTGGTGAGGGGGGCAGATAGAGAAGGGAGGCCGATTTTGTTCTTGAGGCCGGGTCAAGAAAACTCCAAGGACGATCACGATGGCAACCTGAAGCACCTGGTGTACGAGCTTGAGCGAGCTGTGGCATGCATGGACGAGCTGCGTGGAGTGGGGAAAATGTTGGTGATACTGGACCTGCAGCATTACAGCATGTCGAATGCCCCCCCCATGAAGACAAGCAGAGCCACTCTGCATATCCTGCAGGATCACTATCCGGAGCGGCTGGCAAAGTTCTTGATAATCGATGCTCCGTGGCTGTTCCAAGGCTTCTTCAAGATCATCTCTCCCTTCATCGACAAGGTTTTGTTGGCTCAGTCCAGACCAGTAACACGGCACTGAAAGTCGCATGGTTCAGGAGACTGCTGCAAAGCTCGTCTTCGTGAATGGCAAGACAGCAGAAGCAAAGAGGGAGGTTCTCTCCAAGTTCGTCGAACTCAATCGGTCAGTTTGCGAGAGGAACTGCAAGACTCTCTCCTTGACAGTTTCCTCAGCCTCCCCAAGTCTATCTACGGAGACTTAGGCGATGAGGTGAGGAAGAGTGCAAAATCGCCTTTGTTGTCTCACTTTGTCATTCAGGAATTTTTTACAGCCGACGAGTACTTCAGGTTCTGACCCCCTTACAGATCCGATTTTACTGACATGATTCTCCGGCAGCGATGAAGGGGTAGAGAAATTTCGCAAGGAAATCATACGGCAGAGAGCTGCATTTCAGTAAAGATGCACTTGCTGTCCGTCGCAGTTCTGCCTCCTGTTCGTTTGCTTCGTTTGTTTTCCTTTGATGTAAATGCGTTTTTGACTTGTTGCCTAATAGTATACATTGAAACACCTTGATATACGAGTTGAACATCAAGTACATCTCAACAGATGCCAAAATTCTCGAGCCTGCAATGAAAGAAGATAATTCACTCCACACGTGCACTAACAGGTGTTTTTGCGGGTGAAGAAGGTCCCATGCCCTCGTCGCTTGACGGCCTCACGTCGCATGTTTGTACACCAACGATCTTGTCTTTGTAGACCCATCGCAGAAGATGGCGCAGAAAGTCGTACTGCTTCCATGGCCAATGCTTCAATCCTACACACTGTGTAAGAGCAGCAAGTTTAACGAAGAGCTTACCAGTGCTAGGGATGTCGATGTGCGGGAGGTTCACGTACAGAGCAGACCCGCACCATCTCCCTTGCTTGGTCTGTTGCTCCACACAGAGCTTGAATCGATGCCAATCGAGACGAACGATTTGAACCTTCTCCTTGGACAGCCCCGGAGCTTTTGTCATCCTTTCAATGAGGACTCCTGCTCCATATGCTGCTGGGTAGTAGTAGTACAAGGCCGCAAACCCAAACAGATCAAGGGTGCACTGTAACGGGATGTAGACCAGGAGGAATACAAGCCAGCCCATGAAAGCCAGCGGGAAGCAAGGATGCCAAGGCTCTTCGCATTGGTTGACAAAATGGCGTCTGAGAAGCTCTCTCTTCGGAAGAGTATGAAGCCTCGAGCGCCGGAAGATATAGTACGCAAGGCTGCAGGTTGTCCACATCAACGCTAGTCCGACCTGCGCCTTCGGGGTGAAGTGCAGGCTCAACATGCTCAGACCACTGCTGTTGACACGTCTGGTGTTCCCGTATCTGAATGGTCGAGGGTGGAGGTGCGCTGTGGTCCCTTTCTGACCGAGCCTTCCAGGGGACAAACTTGAGCTCCCTATGAAGCAACTATGCAGGAGGCTGCTAGCATGTCTGTCGCAGGGGACTGAAGACAGAGGTATCAGAGGGCTCCGTTGGCTGAGAGTTCGAGGCAGCCTGTCAGGCAGCTGGATCATTCTGGTGTGCTTCTACGTCGGCCATGATACCTCGTGTTGCACAGCAGGATCAGAATTCTCTTGCTCCTGCTTCCAGGTTTGATTGAGAGCTGTCGTCTCGAGCTGCAACTTCTCTGACCATCCCTGGCCTTCCTCCATGGCTTGCTGGTGATGTCGAACCACGGCTAGCTCCTTTATATCTGTCAGATCCCTGCTCCAATCGGGCCGGCGGGCCGGTCACCCGAGGCCGACCTCCGGCTGCTGGAACACTGAGAATTGACAGGTTTATCTCAACTCGGAAGTGCCGAACCGGAGTGAAGCGTGATATCGTGACTAGCAAGCTGCGGAATCGTGACTAGCTAGCTGAGGTATCGTGACTAGCTAGCTGCGGAATCGTGACTAGCTGACAGATTGAAAATGAAAGGGTGCAGTGTGAACGAAGTGGCGGAAGGCATCGAGACATTCGCAGCCTTTCGGGCTCGGGGATGACTGACGTTATTTACTACAGGACGCCGCCTCCAAATAAAAATAAGGTCAACCCTCTCCCCCGCCATCTCCGTCTTGACGCCATGTCGCCATGCCCGACTCTCTCCCCTGCCTGCTCCCCCTGCTCTGTCGACGAGGCCGTCGACGCCCTGTGCAGCCGCCCATGGCGCTCTCCGTGCGACGACCTCGACATGTCCTCCTTCCTCTCCTCCTACCTCCACGACACTCCCCTCGTCGCCGAGGAGGCTGCGGTTCAAGCCTACGCGTCAGCGTGCCACGCAGGCTGGGCAGGGGCGGCGGCGGCTGGCAGGCCTGAGGCCCCGAGCGAGCCGTCAGAGGCGTCGTCTGCGAGCGACAGCGACAGCCCGGCGAGCATCCCGGCGTCCCCGAAGGAGGCGGAGAAGTCAAGGACGCAGTACAACCAGAGCCAGTGGACGCAGGAGGAGCACAAGCGGTTTGTGGAGGCGCTGGCAAGGTACCAGCAGCTGGGGAGCCGACGGGACCCGGTCACGGGCAAGGTGTCGGTAGGGCTTGGAGCCGGAGTGGCGAAGCAGGTAGCGGCGCTTGTGGGAACGAGGACTCCTCTGCAAGTGAGGACGCATGCACAGAAGTACTTCATGAAGCTGAGCACGGGGAGCAAGCGAGGGGGGAGGATGCAGTAGGGTAGGGAGGGAGAGGGCGCTGATGTAAATAAAGGAAGTGACGCTTGCCCGAGAGAGTGCGCCGCACATCCCGCTGACGGAGCAGCGCCGAGAGGGACATTGGTACAGGCAGGTTGGCTGACGAGACCGCTGGGATGGAGGGGAGAGAGACTGGGGCTGAGCTGAGGGCGAGGGCATGACGAGGGGGGGAGAGGGGGAAGCTGCAGGCGCAGTGGCTGATCAGATCGGGTCGTGTTGACTAGGCAAGTCTCCGTGAAGTGTTGACTGTAAGCACATCCCTTCGTGGCTCGAGTCTCAGGCTTGGCCTCGAACAGTGGTCTCAATAATGTGAGGAAAGACCTGATCTTGTTATGTACTTTTGCATTTCCACACAGAGCAGCTGTCAATGATCTGCAGTTTGAACGCGCAGCAAAGCAGTGAAGCTCCTAGAGAGAAACATCTATGTGAAACGGAAATATCCGATTGGACGGAAATATCCGAATCGAAACATCTCTGTGGAAGCGAGGATTTGAATTTTCAAAACCAAGGATTTGAATTTTCACAGTAGAACAACGAAAAGTACAATTCTTGGGACGTCAGGAACGGAAACATCCGATTTGACTTTCGGAAAGGAATATCAAGGATTCGCAGCGTTTCAGAATAGCTTTACAACTGCCAATCGAAGCCTTTCGGGCTCGGGGATGACTGATGTTATTTACTACAGGACGCTGCCTCAATAAAAATAAGGGTGAACCTCTTCCCTGCCATCACCATCTTGACGCCATGCCCCCTGCCTGCTCCCCCTGCTCTGTCGACGAGGCCGTCGACGCCCTGTGCAGCCGCCCATGGCGCTCTCCGTGCGACGACCTCGACATGGCATCCTTCCTCTCCTCCTACCTCCACGACACTCCCCTCGTCGCCGAGGAGGCTGCGGTTCAAGCCGACGCGTCAGCGTGCCACGCAGGCTGGGCAGGGGCGGCGGCGGCTGGCAGGCCTGAGGCCCCGAGCGAGCCGTCAGAGGCGTCGTCTGCGAGCGACAGCGACAGCCCGGCGAGCATCCCGGCGTCCCCGAAGGAGGCGGAGAAGTCAAGGACGCAGTACAACCAGAGCCAGTGGACGCAGGAGGAGCACAAGCGGTTTGTGGAGGCGCTGGCAAGGTACCAGCAGCTGGGGAGCCGACGGGACCCGGTCACGGGCAAGGTGTCGGTAGGGCTTGGAGCCGGAGTGGCGAAGCAGGTAGCGGCGCTTGTGGGAACGAGGACTCCTCTGCAAGTGAGGACGCATGCACAGAAGTACTTCATGAAGCTGAGCACGGGGAGCAAGCGAGGGGGGAGGATGCAGTAGGGTAGGGAGGGAGAGGGCGCTGATGTAAATAAAGGAAGTGACGCTTGCCCGAGAGAGTGCGCCGCACATCCCACTGACGGAGCAGCGCCGGGAGGGACATTGGTACAGGCAGGTTGGCTGACGAGACCGCTGGGATGGAGGGGAGAGAGACTGGGGCTGAGCTGACGGCGAGGGCATGACGATGGGGGGAGGGGGGATGCTGCAGGCGCGGTGGCTGATCAGATCAGGTCGTGTAGACTGTGCTAGTTTCTGTCGTTGCTTGAGAGAGAGGGAGAGAGCAGTCAGAAGCGCAGGAAGACCAGATCAATGATAAAAATATGTATAGAAAGAATAGCACGGATTCTATATGGAGCCCTTTCTTTTACTTAAATTTGAGTAAACTTTCTTAGTTAAGTCACTAACGTTCACAATGCAGGAAGCACAATGAAGAGCATCGACGCCGCCCTACAGCAAGGATGATGGTGTTGTACATCCGATCACGTCTTAGGATCATTCTAGGAATAGTTGTGCATTACTTCTACACATCTTTCAATCATGATAACGATAGAAAACCTTTCACTATTTCCCTGACTTGCGATGCGGCCACTGAGCAGTGCGAATGGAAGGGCAGATGAAAAAGTCTTGGTACGTGACCTGCTGACTCAAGGACTGAAAGGTCCGACACTCCGAACGCATATCAAGGCTTCGCAGCGCTTCAGAATATCTTATAGCAACGTGATATTGTCATTGCAACTCACAACATTCGCAGCCTTTCGGGCTCGGGTATCACTGTTTCTTTACTACAGGACGCTGCCTCCATATAAAAACAAGGTCAACCCTCTCCCCCGCCATCACCGTCTTGACGCCATGTCGCCATGCCCGACTCTCTCCCTTTCCTGCTCCCCCTGCTCTGTCGACGAGGCCGTCGACGCCCTGTGCAGCCGCCCATGGCGCTCTCCATGCGACGACCTCGACATGGCATCCTTCCTCTCCTCCTACCTCCACGATACTCCCCTCGTCGCCAAGGAGGCTGCGGTCCAAGCCGACGCGTCAGCGTGCCACGCAGGCTGGGCGGCGGCAGCGGCTGGCAGGCCTGAGGCCCCGAGCGAGCCGTCAGAGGCGTCGTCTGCGAGCGACAGCGACAGCCCGGCGAGCATCCCGGCGTCCCCCAAGGAGGCGGAGAAGACAAGGACGCAGTACAACCAGAGCCAGTGGACGCAGGAGGAGCACAAGCGGTTTGTGGAGGCGCTGGCAAGGTACCAGCAGCTGGGGAGCCGACGGGACCCGGTCACGGGCAAGGTGTCGGTAGGGCTTGGAGCCGGAGTGGCGAAGCAGGTAGCGGCGCTTGTGGGAACGAGGACTCCTCTGCAAGTGAGGACGCATGCACAGAAGTACTTCATGAAGCTGAGCACGGGGAGCAAGCGAGGGGGGAGGATGCAGTAGGGTAGGGAGGGAGAGGGCGCTGATGTAAATAAAGGAAGTGACGCTTGCCCGAGAGAGTGCGCCGCACATCCCGCTGACGCAGCAGCGCCGGGAGGGACATTGGTACAGGCAGGTTGGCTGACGAGACCGCTGGGATGGAGGGGAGAGAGGCTGGGGCTGAGCTGAGGGCGAGGGCATGACGATGGGGAGAGGGAGGATGCTGCAGGCGCAGTGGCTGATCAGATCGGGTCGTGTTGACTAGGCTAGTCCAGGTGAAATCAAATCTTTGTTATTTTGGTGACATATTGTGTTGTCCAAGAGATGTTGTATCGATCAGCATCAAGTCAGTAGGGAAGGGATCATTGACGTCCTGTGGTATCGCATCCTTCTTGCTCGTTGGGACCCTGCATGGCCGAGCGCCGCTCTGCGGCGGCTGTGCATCCTTGTTCGCAAGTTTCTAATGACTAAAGAGACTTGCAGGCCCGCCTCGGACTGTTCTAGATAGAAGTCGATGAGTAATAATTTTCTGTGATGCTCAGGTCCAGAAAAGCCGTTGAGAAGTCCAGTGCTAGATCGAAAAAAAACACTCACAACACCCCTCATGGCCTTACAGCCTCAAACTCAGATAATTGAGGGGGTAGTGTTCATGGGTATTTTCGTATGTTGAGCTCGTGTTCCCCTTGTCCCCTCTGACATGCGAGAGTCAGTGAGCCCTTGGGCCATCCAACACTGATGAATGCGCAACATGAAGGCGGGAGAGCGATTGAGGAGGGGGGAGGAGACTTACCTCGAGTAAGGAGGAGCTGAAGGAACTAGGCGAGGACGGGAAAGGCTTCGAAAGGCACGCTGAGGAGAAAGAGGACAAGTGAGGGGTCGATAGAGGTGGAGAAAGAGGAGGAGGAGGAGGAGGAGGAGGAGGATGACGAGGATAAAGACGAAGAGGATGCATGTATATGCAGATACGTCGGGCAAGACCCCGCGGACTCTGCCAGGAGTTAGAGAAGAACAAGACGATATGACAAAGCTGGACATCGTTTGAGCTGGCAGATGTAAAAATGTTTCCGATGATGGCACCAAGATGAAGATGAATATAGAATGCAAGCGTCTAGTTGACAGATGCCTGCAGGCGAATCTCAGCCATGGCAACGAGGTACAACCAGCACGGGATCCGAGGAGGGCAGTTCACAAGAGCAAAGATTCAGCACAGCAGGGATCTGTTCAAGGAGCACGAGGCGCGCGGGAGTGTGGGGCCCGGGCTCTTGTATGCGAGCTCGACGGTAACGGAGAAGACAACCAAGTGAGTCCGACGCTTTCAGCTGCTCATGGCTGATCCGCCAGCTGCAGGACTGGCGCTCCCATCGGAACGGCAGAGAAAGTGCACCAGAGGCCCCTGTGGAAGCGGGAAGAGGAGGTAGCGGAGGACTTGGTGTTGGTGGAGGATGTTGATGAGCTCTGGATCGCAGTGCGCTGCCCAGGTGCCAGGAGCGGGCTCGTACTCACCAGGGACGAACTTGACGAGGTTGGGGAGTGAAGGAGGAGGAGACAGGGCGGCTGACTGGACTGCAGCAACGGCTTCGCTCCTAGGAGCCCCATGGCAACCATCGGTTCGGGAGCGAGAGAGTTGCGGGCCGCGGTTGACAGGAAGCAGGGAACGCGAGGAAGGGACACTCGAGGAATCTGTGGATCGAGCATGAGAAGAACGCGAGCGAGGTGACTGAACTAGCTGACCTTGGAGAGGCTTGCTGAGTATTTCAAGGTCCCTGCACCCGGGGAGTACGACAGTATGTGCTTGAGTAGTATCGCATTCAGATCCAAGACAGGTCAGTCTTTTTTCCTCCCCCCCTCCTCATAGTTGTTGGGATCTTGACCTTGATGACTTGCGGCGACAGACCTTGGCTCGTCAGTCTGCAGCCCCAACTCTTCCTCCTCCCAGCTCTTCTCCTCCAGAGGTCCAAACTTCCTTGCTCTCAGCTTGCAGGAGCTGACGGGCTGCACGAGAAGGGAGCACGCCTCGGTCAAGGAGCAGCGTCCGACATTCTCTTGCCTCCCTCCACGAGGCAGGTCGAGGCGAGCACTTGCTGATGAGCCCCAGAGTGCAGAGCATCCTCTCCTCCCCTCGCAACATCGAGAGCAAGCGGAAGAGCGTCGGGGATCGGCGGTGGACGAGCGTGAAAGAGCGGTCGGATTCCGAAGACATCCCGTCTCCTCGACACAAGGCAAGTTGCAGTGGGCGCAACAGGGTGAATGGGATGGAGGAGCTGGGAAGGTGACGAAAGATGAGAGACGGAGGGAGGTAGAGGACAGTGATGGTGTGGGAATGAGAGTCAGAAGAAGGAGAAAGAGATGCAGGAAAAGAAGGAGTGGGAGGAGGAGGAGCATAAGCATCAACAGCAGCAGCTGCAGCAGCAGGAGGCATTTATTAGGATGGATCCTCCCGCTGACAAGACATGCAGGAGTTGAATGCTGAGAACGTTCATGTCAATCGTAATCGGTCAAGGTGACTCACAACTTTGATCTTCTCGCCTGACGTCCAGCAGCCAAGTGAAGTCAAGCCCCTCCCTCTCCAGCAGGTTACCACCAGAAGCATCCAAGGAGTATCGCCAGGAGCTTGTGGAAGTCGGCAGGATTGTCCCGCAAACTTCTTCTCAGCTCAAGAAGCTCGACGTGTCATCGTCGTCCGACAGTGAGTCACCCATCCACCAGGTCTCAGAGCACGGGCTCAGTGCGTCGAAGCAGCCGAGCAGAGGTGAGAGGCGGGGAAGGGAAGGGACGGGGCGGGATGGCAAGTGTAGGATGACAGAGGGAGGGAGGGGCCTGTGCTTCATCTTTCAGCTGAGCCTTGAGACCAGGTGAGGCGAGGGAGGTCAATGCGGACAAGAGGAGGAAGTCTTGTGCGAGACAAGACGGAGGGTCGGATGCTCATTACCGTGAGGCCATGCGGCTCTTGACCCTGCATGGGTGAACAGCCGATGCCTCCCGCTGCTCCGCACGTTGACGGTCGAGGCAGGAGGAAGGAGGAGGCAGAAGAGAAGTTCAAGCAGGCGCTCGCTGCCAACCCAAGGGACACGAGTGAGTCCCATCTCACCGCCTGCTCGTTGCCGTGAGAGCTGCCGCAGGAGCCCTCAGGCAGTATGCCAGCATGCTCATCCAGTCGGAGAGGCGGGAGGAGGCGGTCGTTCACATCCGCTCCCTCCTCCAGCTTGCCTACAACCACAAGAGGTGACGTCTGCTCCTGTCCAGCTGCCGCTGACGTGGTGCCCCAGCGATGGAGGGAGCGTGAACAACACGTGGGGCACGCGGATGGTGGAGGACCTGACGGCCTGCGGCTCCCTCCTCACTTGTGAGTCACTTTGACGCTCATGTTGCCTCCTCACGCTCCTCTGCAGTGATAGGACGCGATGATTTCTCAGCTCGGGTCTACGATGCTGTGCTGGACATCAGGCCAAGTTTGCGACCACTTGCCTGCTGACTTTCTCACTCACACTGGCGCTAAGATCACACGCCTGCTCTCACCGCCTATGCTGATCTCCTCGTCATGAAGTCACTCAAGGTGAGGACGACGAGGTCCCAGAGCCGATGGCTCCCATCCTGCGCCACCACTCCCTCCTCCGCATCCTCCCGACGCTCTTCTCTTTCTACCTCTTCTCGACATGTCTTCCTTTCTCCTTGTTTGCTTTCTCATCTTTCGTGCTTTTCCGTTGCTTCTTCTCACAAAAGTTTGAAGACTCAGGGAGCGGAAGCAAAAAGTCTCAACGAGCAGGCTGTCCAGCTGTACAACAGAGCCTCGGAGATTCTCAAGGTCAGTCCTGCCTTTGTCTCCTCATCACCGTCATCTTCAAGCTGCAGGCCAAGGGCTCATGAGACAAGGGGGTATCCTCCTCCCTCCCTCCCTCCCTCCCTCCCTCCCTCCCTCCCTAAATTTCACAACGGCTTGCAACTCCCTCCTTCTCGCCATCTCGTTGGTTTTTCGACTTTTCCTCATGAGTAAATAAACAGAAAGCACGACAACAACGCTTATGCTGTCATGGTGTAGAAGGGCTTCAGCACGTATCCCCGCATGTTCGGCGAGCGCTACAGCAACATTAGCTTCCATCGCCCCTTCTACTCGCCGAATACCTTCATGACTGCCCTTCTCATCCTCAGTGGTACCTCGCTCCCCTCCATCGCCCCTCCTTCATCGTATACTTCCTGCTCATGGTCATCAGAGCTCTCAGCGCGAAAGCAGGAGGCAAGAAGCTACGTCTGGATCGACTTGCTCGTCATCTTCACTTGGCTGGAGGTACTTGACAGAGCTCTCTTTGTCTTCGCTCCTGTCGATCACCGGAGAAACATCCTACAAGCTGGTCAGCATCGATCCAACACCTCTAGCGCAAGTCGCAGGACCTCAACGATCTCGATGCCTCGCTTCTCGGGTCTTCTCTCCTCGAACGAGTCCTCCAAGTCTCCCCGACTTGGCTGGTGACAAACCGACGGTCAAACGAGGCGAACGGGGCGGAGGACGAGCACAAACCTCCTCCACTCTCTCTTCATCACTCGATGCGTCAGGAGGACCTTTGTAGTGCCTTCCTGTCTCCCGACCTGATGTCCAGCATGTGTCAACCAGCACACGACCCAACGAGAACCTGAAACCCTACCTTCTATCTTGATTACATAGTGCTTCAAGTACCGCTCCTCTTGCTGCTCCTTCTCCCTCACCGCCTTTTCTGCCTTGACCTTTGAGAACAAATGGACCAGGAACTTCGCAGCCTGCTCCTCCTCTTTCTTGGTTTTCTGTTTCATCCCAGGTCAGTCGCTGGAGACTTGCAGTATACAACCCTCACGTAATGATTCTTCTTCCTCTTCAGAGAATCCTCCATTTCCGCTTTCGCTACGGCCTTCCAGGAGCATGTCAACCTCACCCACCCTTCAACCAGAGCAAGTTCATCACCGCATCAAAGATCGCTTCCTTGGCTTCTTGCGTTGCCCTCTTCTTCGACTCTCCGCTCTCCTCTCCTTCGTCCGCCAACACCCTCTCCGCGTCATGCTCAGCTACTTTGCTCGGGACTCCGTCCTTCTCTTCGCGCCTTTCAATGTCTTCACCCGCCAGCACCTTGGGAGCCTCCAATCCAAACTTCGCAAGGGGAACACCGTATCTGTCGATCTTCCTGTGCCCGAGGACCACGGCTCCGGAATCATACCCACGAATCTTCCACTGCTTGCACTCCATGTCGTCAGCCTTGCAGGGGCCTTTCCAGTCGTACACGATGTCGCCATTGGGCCAGTAGGTCACGTTGGGGATGAACTGAGCAAGTGGGTTGTTGTAGAGAGGCTTCTTGGGCGCATACTCTCCTAACGGCGACACGGCTCCTGGGACTGCCCTGTCGTTCTTCTGAAGCGGGACCTTGAACGGCTGACGGAGGGCGTTTGCTGCTGCCTCACGGCCGCTCCGGGATGCCCACTGGGGCTCCATGAGCATCTTGGGAATGCCTACCTTCCAGTTCTTGCCATCCAAGGCCTTGGCTGATCCTGAATCGCAGCAGCCCATCAGTGTCCGTGACTCAGATGTTACCAGGGACATACCGGCAAAATCAGTGAAGGGTGAGACTTGAACGACAGTTTGCACTGCGGACTGCGAGCAGGGATCAAGGAGGAGGAGGACTAGAACGGGGTGTCGAGTTACGTTCACAGCGTCTCGAGGATCCGGCATGAATTTCATCTGATGAGATTCGAGCGTCGAGACATCTCCTGTTTTCCAAGAGCAGTCAGCAAAGTGAATCAGGAGTCAGGAATGCCGAACCTCTCTGCGTGGTCGACAGGAACACGAGGAGGGAGGCAAACAGAAGCGAGACTGTGACGAGGGTTGCGTGTCTCCACATGGTCTTCTTGGATGGCTGCGTCCACTGCAAGCACTATCAGCGGCTGATGAAGGCGTCATGGTCTAGGAGAGCTTCTAACTTACCATAGGAGGCGTCACGAGCTCAACGGAGAGGTCTGGTGCCCCTGGAGCTGAGAGAGCAAGGATCGTCAGATGTCAGGAAAGAGTATCTCCTTGAGCTCAGTGCAACCATGCTGCCGAATCCTCACTGTCACGCGACTCACCGCCAATCGCCATTGCGCTCTCCCCGTCTCTCTGCGTCTATTTCGGGCAACCCAGGCCCTATCACTGACGGACCCGCCTCGGAGAGATCACGGTCGGCAACACTTGGCTCCCGGGGTCACCCGGTGCTGCCTCAGGGCCGAGCCCGGCCTCACTCAGTGAAGTGCCCGGGCCCGGCCCGGAAATAGTTTTAAGGGCCCGGCGCCAGTGCTCACCGCCTCTTTCACTATCGCGATGGGGGAGAGATGAGGTAGGGCGGCGGGGAGGCATGGTGGATCAACAGCTGTCTCTGCCTCCTTCAAACCCAAGCCTGTGACTTGAAGACACGTTTGCGGGTGACAACTGAGGTGATTCAAGTTTTGCATCCCCTCCTGCCCCATTCAAGTTCTATCTCAGTCCAACCTGCTGTTGCCTGGAGTCAGGCTGGTCTTGAAAGGGTCTTACATTTCACTTGCACCTTCTTCAGGTTTTGAGAATCATTGCAGCGAGAGAGCAACATGATGGCGTCAAGATCTCATACCGATCGTCCTAATCGCTCTGTTGTCACTCATCCACCATCATGGGCGCCTCACATGGCCGTCGAGCTAGAGTTGCAAGGGAAAGTGAGTGCGATGCGCAAGATTGGATTGGTTTTTGAACATTGCAGAAGAAATTTGCTATGATTCGCCTAGAAGACATGTTGTTGCTTATGGTAACGAGGTGTTCTGTTGCAGGATGACGACGCTGATGTTGTAGACATGACATGCGCTGTAAAATCGATATCCTGCAATGCTTATGGAACATGCGTTGCTTGTGGATGCCAGGATGGCAAGGTATGGTCTTCTCTTGCATCCTCATTAACCTCCATCCTTTCAATCCCTACATCTGATCGTTTGAACTTCTTACCCTGAATTATCTTCAAAGGTGAGAACTATCAAGATGAATGCGATGGACTGGCAAATCGCGCTTTGCATGGCGCATCATCCTCGTCTTGCGAAGCAAGGTGAGTAAAACGAGATTATCTTTGAAAATAAGAGAGTCGTCTTGACTGCTTGTTTTTGTCAAGGTTGCTGGCTTTCCTTGCTCGAATCGGAGATTCTAATGCACATATGGAAGTTTGTTGCTTCTGATTACTTGATCATTGGTGGAAAGGCTGAATTTGAAGAGCTTTCCGGGCATTCATCGCTCGTATCTTCGGTTTCTTTCAGTCCCCTGGGCGATATGTTGGCCTCCAGTGCGATCAACAATGAGATCCGGTTGTGGAACTACACCTCAGATGAGAAGAGAAGTGAAGTCATCAAAACATCCGCTGCCCACAGTGCCATGGTCCTGGCGTTTAATAAGGATGGGAGCCTTGTTGCCTCTGGTGGGCGAGACAGGCGAATCAAATTGTGGTGCACCACAGGGAAGAATGAGATCTATGACGCTTTCGAAGGCCATGCCGGTATGATACAGGCTCTTGCGTTTTCTCCAGATGGGAGTTTGCTTGCATCAGGAAGCAGTGATTGTACAGTACGGCTGTGGAACATGCAGTCGCTAACATCTTACAGAGATCCTCTCCGTGGCCATTACAGAGGTATCCATGCAGTCGCGTTCTCTCCCGATGGTGTCCATCTTGCGGCTGGCTCTGGTGACTGCCTCATCTCTGTTTGGCAAGTGGCAACAGGAGAGCCCAAGGCTGAAGCACTGAAGGGACATCTCTCCAGTGTCTTCTGCCTTGCCTTCTCGCCTGATGGAAGATATCTGGCCAGTGGGGGTAACGATAGAATGGTGAGACTGTGGTGTTGCAGAACATGGCAGCAGGTTCAGACCTTCAGAGGTCACAGTTCAGGAGTCTCGTCCGTGGCTTTCTGCAAGGGTGGACTGATCCTGGTTTCAGGAAGTGGAGATGGAACTGTCAGGCTCTGGGATTTGAGGCAAAGGATGGGATGAAACTCCTGCAAGATGTCATTCTTCTTCGCTGTTGATCAAACCCCATCAAATCCGTGCTCAACGAGCTACTGCTTTCAACGAGTTGTTGTGTTTGGCTGTCGTTCTCTTTCAGGGAGGATTTTGCTTATTCGGACCACCCACTGCCGATATCTAGTTGCAAAGACGCCGTCGTGCTGTGACTCTACGTTTCTTACCGTCTTTGCAAAACCATGTAGAGGATAAATACATTAACTGCACAACCATGTAGAGGATAAATCTTTCCCTTTTTTTGACTGAAAAAGAAGGACAAAACGGAGAAATACATTAACAAGTAAGATGATTTCATCTCTTTGCTTGTGTCCTGCTATCAAATAACCATGTATGACGCACTATCAAATCCCTCATCATTCCTGTACCATAACTAAACTCCAGCACGAGCAAGTGCTCTGGGAAAGCGCGCAGTGGGAACACTCACGAATACATCTCATCGTAACATCGCAGTCCATTCGTCGACTTCAGCTGACCCCGCAAGACACCCTGCAATCCTTCAATTGCCGTTTTCAGTCTCCCCACCTCCTGGGCGGCATGGCGGGGAGGAGCTCTGGATACACTATGAGGTGTTAGTTCGGTTTCAAGTCGACAAGACAGGGGACATGCCCATCCTGCAAACAATTTCCGAAGGCTCGGAAAAGAGCAACGCAACAATGTGAAACGATGCGTATTGGAGGAGACGGCACTGAAAAGCCTGCCTCAGAGTTATCCAATAAGACGAGCTGCGGCATCAGCACGTGTCAATACCTGACCAGAGGACAGCAAAATTTTCGAATCCATGAAGAAACATGGGTTCTTTGAATTGAATATTCAAGTCTTAGGTTAAAGAAATATATTCAGTTTTCAAGTATCCAATTATACCTCGGAATTTCAACAATTCATACTCCTCTGTCAAAATAGAAATATGGTTGAAATCAAAACCGCTGTCTTTGCAATAGTTCCCTTATTGCGAGGGAGTCCTGATGCCCAAATCTATCTCTATCTGTAGCTTCTGAGGCCAGCGCTGAACTCACTATTGCCCTCTCAGTTAGCTCCTCGAAAGGAAGGGCGGGAAGGTGCAAAGGAGACAAAGTTTGGAGGGCAACAATACCAAACGATCCATTATTGAAGGTCAAAAAGATGAAAACACAACGATTACGATTGTTGCCCCCGAACCTTTGCCTCCTTAGCTCCTGCGATTCTTCTGTCATGGCACCCTGTATTTCCTAAAGAAGCAACGATTGGCATTGTTGTGCACTCACCTGTGCCTCCTTAGCTCCTTACAACGTCATGTTCCTCCGTTGCTGACTGAATCTATTGAAGATATCTGTCAGCAGGTCAGCGTGCTGACACTCGGCTGATGCAAGAAGGAGCAAAGAAGGCGAACATTCGGGGGCAACAATGAGAATCGTTAGGGTTTCATCTCTGTGCTGACCTAACAAGATTTCACTGGAGCAAAGAAGACAAAGGTTCGGGGGCAACAATCCCAACCGTCAAGATAAAACAAAACCTTTGGGATTGTTGCCCGTCTACCTTTGTCTTCTTAACTCCTGGTGTCCTCTGGCCGATAATTAACTGACGTCAGCAGATAGTCTCGTGTAAGCCTAGCAAAAATGCAACATGAAGTGTTTGGGATTGTTGCCCGTCTACCTTTGTCTTCTTAGCTCCTGCTCCCTTCCCTGTACCTTTGACGGTTTGGTCAGCGAAAATGGAGCATGACATTCTAAAACCCAATAACAAACGACGTTTGGGATTGTTGCGCGTCTACCTTTGTCTTCTTAGCTCCTTAAAATGTCATGTTCCTCATTGCAATATGCAGAAATAGAACCGTTGGGATTGTTGCGCGTCTACCTCTGCCTTCTTAGCTCCTTACTATGTCATGTTCCCTCGCTGCTGACAAACCGATTCTCGATATCTTTGAGGAGATAGGGTTCTGTAAGCCTAGTTTCATATTTTCAAACAACGCTTGAGATTGTTGCCCATCTACCTCTGCCTTCTTAACTCCTTGTAATGTCATGTTCCACACAAGTTGAAGAAGGATACGCAACGGTTGGGATTGTTGCGCGTCTACCTCTGCCTCCTTAGCTCCTTGTGATGTCATGGTCCCGATTCCTGTATGGCAGGCCCTGGAAAAACTCGAAACGGTTGGGATTGTTGCGCGACTACTTCTGACTTCTTAGCTCCTTGCGTTGTCATGGTCCTCTTCCCCTATGTCATCATCGCAGGAGCAAGAGGCAAGTTTCGGGGGCAACAATTTGAAACGTTGCATGCACGGTATGGACCGGGCCTCAGTAGCACGCCGGGCCCGGTCAGTCCAATCGGAATAAACATAACCTTACTAGTTATGGCTTTACTCAAAGTTAAGCCTAGTACGCCAAAACCCCGGTGACCTTCTTTACTCAAAGTTAAGTTAAAAAGCAGTACGAGGACAATCAGGAGAGTCGAGGAGGCTTGACCCTGACACTGTCGCACAGGCCAAACGGCGAGAAGAGAAAAGACAGCGAGAACCAAACCCAATCCTGCCGAACTTCCGAATGCTGTCCCCCAAACTTAACTGACCACTCGTGACTTCCCCTTTACTCGTGACTACTGATTGTGATCCGCCGCATCTGGCTTATCCTTAGCTCAAAGGATCAGTCATAGAATCACTGGCAGTCATACTAGAATCTGCCGCGCCAGCCAGTGCCGCAGTCCGTCCGATCATGCTGCGGCACTCCAAGTTCCATCACGGGAAGTTCCGATCACCGATCATATAGCCGCTATGCCGGGTCCCCGGTCTGATCGGATCAAGACGTGGGAGAGTTGCAAGTCTCTCACAGCCTACATTCGTCAGGACTGAGACAGAGTCACTGGCAAGCCGGAAAGTGAAGGGAACTTACTCATGATGGAGGGGTCGGAGATTCCATTATCCCAGTCGGAGCCAGAGGCCGATTGACGATGACCGTAACGAGGGCAAAGAGGGCATAGAGGAGGATTGACATGGTGGGTGGCCTGCGCCGCCCAAAATGCCGCAGACTGGAGGTACGAAGCAGGCCGCGCCGGACCGAGCTCCCTCGTCCGCCCATTAGACCGTGTTTTTTTACTGTAAGGTAGTGAATGATTGTTCTCAATCACTGTAGCATCACGGCTTCCTTCCCGAAAGTGCTGATTCCGGAGCAGGGAGCTGAGCAGCAACTGCCGCCCTCAGGCCTGCCATAATGCTCCTCCAAAACAAGAAGCGGTCTCTCTTAAACGGCTTTCTTCTCATCAGCAAATAACCACATTGATGCATTGAGCGGGGGGAGCAGAGTACATTTTAGCATGGGATCCAAACAACTGAGATCTCACATTCGGAAGATCCTTTTTGATTCATGTCAACCCAAGGCTGATCAAGGTCAGTGTGTCTCTCGGCCTCTCGAGATGCCTCACTGGATCATCCGACTTGTGACCGCATCCAATCCTGAATCTCCTACTGTCTCAAGCTTCCTCGTCCCCAGTGAAGTTCGCCATGTTCGCAGATGCCGTTCGCTATGCCCGGCTGCCTGCGGGCATGGTGCTTGAAGAGTCTCATCAGATCTTTTACTCAACCAGACAGCTGTAAAGAGAGGACGGTTCGGATTGTTGCTGTCTCAACGAAGTAACCTATTGTCCTACTCCCACCGGTGGATACATAGAGTCCTATCTCTAGTACCGCTGCCACTGGTAATATATTTTAAACTTTACTTAATGCAATTCTGTACCCTATTTTCGCTGATTCTAGTACTTCCTCTACTTTTAGGGCCGAGACTAACGTCCGTTAGCGTATCGCGAAAATATTGCGAACGCAACGAAACGTTTTAGAAATATTGTAAAACGTTTATAACTATTATACAATTTCCAAACGGTGTGTAAATTTGAAATAAGTGGGTTTATATATCTACAATGTCATTTATTAAATGTAAGCAGGCCTTGATCATCGTGTGGTAAAGCTGTGTTGTAATAAAGAGAATCGCGAACGACGTTCGCGATTCTCCGTATCCATGAGATTAAAACTGCTTTTTAATGTATTTGAATTTGTACCAAAAAAATATAGGTCAAAACAGGATGACGAAATGGTTTGAAACGTTGTTGAAGGAAAATGTTTCCAAAATGGAATTGTTCGTGTCAGGTTGATATATATCGAAGCAATGCTTGTTTGACAGGGAAAGGGATATCTATTAATTACCCGCCCCCTTTGGAAAGAAAAGCAACGGTTCGCATTGTTGTGGGTGATGCTTTTGTAATTAATTTTCTAAAGATGTTTGCACTGGAAATTTTTTGGTTCACGACGATCAAGGAAGGGCGAAAAATTCCACTCAAATTTGAAATTTTTCGGAACAATGCTTTGCATCTCCAAAGTGTTGGTCCCTAAACGCGTTCTATTTTGATACAGAAATCGTCCAAATGTTTCAAATCGCGCAAGCACACCCGAGAAAACTTTGAGGTTCGACAAATGAAGAATCAAACGTTCAGGTTGAAATTTCAAATACAAATGTATATTTTCCTGGATTTCACAGATATTTTCGGAGAGAAAAACAAAAACTGCAAGGGTGCATTCCCATGTTTTTTGTAAAGTTAATTTCCACAGCAGCAACAATGCTGAACGTCGCGAGATTGAAGCTGAGGCGGGCATGAAAACAAATGCAATCCAAGTAGGGGGTCATCCGACTAAGTTTTAAGGTGACATATTGAGGGTAGGGGTAGTGAACGGGCCCGTCAAGAGAGAACGCTTCGAATTGTTGCGGGTGTTCGAGCGGGCAACTCCTTGCAAGGGGAGTGAGAGTGCATCGTTTCGGATTGTTGCTCCTGATGAAATCAACTTCAGTGAAATCACTTTCTTCTCTACTTCGATCCTCCTATCTTGTACCACTCCTGCGTTCCTCCTTCACTCCTCCTCCGCTTCTTCTTTCTCCTCCTTCTTTCCTTCTTCACTCCTCCTGCGTTCCTTGTCCGCCCCTTCTTATTCCCTCGTTCGTTTCTCTTTCGCTCCCATTGAAATCTTTACTTTTCTCTGCTGTTTGTACACGTTCCTACCACTTAATCTTTCATCCTAGCTCGACCCTCAGTGCAGCAGATCTGAAATCTCCTGCTCTCAAGGTCAGCAATGACATGAGCTTGTCCTACCCCCCCATCACCTCCTGCAGGTTGTGCCTGCGCATGAAGGGCGTGGTCAACAAGCTTCCTAGCTGTGACAAGTTCGCAGTGATCTGTCAGGGATCAATTGCGTCAGGAGGAGGAGCTTGCTGAGAGCAAGGAGTTTACCTGATCTAGCTGGGTCAAGCTCCCAAACAACCCCCACACCTGCGCACTGTCATCTTCAACCGCTACATAGCATCGATCCCACGTTGGTTGCGACTGCCTCCTTGCCCCCGCGTCCTGTCCGTTGGTCTTCCTGCGATGTTTCCACCGCTTCGCTGGACAGGGAAGTCAGACAGTGAGATGAAGGTACATGATAGCAAGTGATGGTGGTAATGATGGTAGCCAAAAACGAGGTGGATGAGGATGAGGATGAGGAGGAGAAGGAGAAGGAGGAGGAGGAGGGTAGAGGAGGAGGAGGAGGAGGAGGAGGAGGAGATCAGCTGATGAGCTTCAGGAGGGCGACGAGATGGAGGGGTTAGGGAAGAGAGGTCATTACCTTGCCTTCCGCTTCATCCCCGCAGTTTGATAGCGATTGGCGTCCAGATTCTCTTCCACGTGATCCTCCTCCGACATGTACCGAGCGGTCGCATGCCGCACAGACCGCGCGACATTCTCCATGCCCTCCCGCTCGCTCAGGATCATCCGTGACAGCTCATGGAACATCTCCATCTTCTCCGTTCCTGCGGGGCATACGCGTCAAGGGATTGCCATGGCTGACCCGATCCAGCGCACCGAGAATGTCGATGCTTCCTTGAGCCTCGTCGTCCTCCTCGTCGAAGGATAGAGACTTGATCACCCCCTCCTCCCCCTCCTCCTCCAAGTTGCTATCTATCCTGAAGTTTGCAGGGGAAGCACTTCGAACGAGAGAATTCCGTCCCTGCGACCGTGACGCCCTCCTGCTCATCCTCTCTTCCTCCACGTCCGTGTCAAGAGTCCATGCCTGCGACAAGCGAGGGAAGCGCGCTCCAGCAAACTGCAAAGCTGCACAGCATCATCAGTTCAGGAAGGGAGGAGGAGGAGGAGGGAGAAGACGAGCATAGTATAGGAGGAAGGACGACAGCAGCCTTACTGTGATGAGAGACAACAGGGATCATCAGCTCGCATTCTCGAAGTTCTGCGATCCTTGCAAGCAGGACATCCTGGTCGCCGTCAGCGTCTCTTTCTCCTCCTCCTCCTCCTCCTCCTCCTCCTCCTCTGTTACCTGCAGCGCTTGCCATGCTGTTCGACGCCAGCACCGCATGTCGGCGCCCTTGGCTGCGTTGAAGGAGGCGTTCAAGTTGACCAGCAGCGGAGGAGCAGGCCCCCCCTTGCGCTTTGCCTCGATTTTACTCTCAGTGTGCATTTTCAGGAGCTTGATGCAGGAATCCTTGACTAGCTGGAGCTGGAGGATAGAGAAGGAGAGGTCAACGACTTGTCCTCAGAACTTCTGTCACTCACTGTGCTAGAGTCGTCCTTCCCGTCCTCTCCCCCTGGGAGGAGCTGCTCTAGCAGATCTCTTGCAGGCTTGCCGGTGAATTTGATCCTCTCCTTGACCCCCTGCCACCTGACATGCGATCGATCCGAGACAGCTGGAGGAGGGTCAGCAAGACACCAGCGAGACTCTGAGAGCAAGGGGGACGGTCGAACTTTGCCCATGTGAGGAACAGAGCAGAAATTGAAACAGTCTGCAAGCAAGCAGGACAGAGAGAGGGAAGGAAGGCGGGGGAAGGGACTAAGTACGGATGGATGGAGGGATGGAGGGATGGAGGGATGGAGGGCAATTGGCGATCAAAAGCAAACGAACCTCTCTCAACCTCCTCAACGATCGCCAGGGTCCGATCGCAAGCAGCGACAAAAACTTGGAGGAGGCCGACTCGTATGCTGGGGAGGAGGATGAGTTTGAGCTTGTCGCACGGGGATTCACCTTCTCATCCTCATGCTCTCCACTTGTATGTTGCTTGTTGCAGACAACCAGAGAGAAAGGAGAACGTCCGCCACCTCCTGGCGGCAGAGGAGGAGAGGACGAGGAAGGGATCCGAGTAGCCAGCCCTTGGCGGTGGGCAACGCAGGGGAGCAGCTGCTCCCGTCCTCGTCGAAGTGCCGGCAGAGGCCGAGTAGGAAGTCGTGAGATACGGTGACGGAGACGTTGCGGAGGGAGAGGAGAAGAGCACATCCAGCCTCGCACACTTCTGCAGAGCTCATGCAGAAGAAACGGACCAGGAGCCGGTGCTCCACGGAAGACAACACGCGACTGAGGAGCGAGCGGAGGCGGCGGTGAAGCTCCTCCTCGCCTCCGGCAAGCCGAATCAGCTGCGAGAAAGTCAGCAGAGGGCGAGAAGGCTGAGGAGGAGAAGGAAGAAAGGAAGAAGGAGAAGGGGACGAGCATGTAGGGGAAGGGGGGCAGAGATTGAGTACAGGAGGAAATGGGGTAAGACGGAACCTGTGCTGAGGCAGGAACCAACACCGCAAGAGGTACCAGCATGCGTTCAGCAGTATCTGCAAAGCGCGTGAGATGAAATGAGATCAGACAGCGGGAGGCGGGGAGGTAGAGGAAGACAAGATAGAAGAGGACCAGTAATGTGCTTCTCGATGGTGCTCCTCGCCGCCTCCATCTCCTCTCCTGCCTCCTTGCAAGCCTGAAAACGAGCAAGTAACTTCAGGAAGCAAAGGAAGCAGCTACATGCCTTCTCCACAGACTCTCCGAGCATTGGGCCCAGCAAGAGCGTCGCAGCTGCGGGAGCTTCTCTCCTCCCTCCTCCTGCCTTCCCCATCTTGTCCTTCCCTGGCGGCTTGTGCGCGAGGGAGAAGGAATGCAGACTCGAGATGTGAACTTGATGAAGCGCATGAGCATGAGATCTCGATTGCACTCCCTGCTTCCAATCCTCCTCTCCCTCCTCCTCTTGCTCTTCCTCGCCCCCTCTCTCCTCCGCAATCCACTCAGGCCCGTCTTCATCCTCTGCGGCCCCGTGGCGACGATGATCGTGTAGCTGAAGGCACGGCAGTTATGCAGGGCAGAGGAGGCGAGGAGTCGAGACAAGGGAGAAGTCAGGCAGCACAAGCTTACCTTGAGCACTAGGTCTCCTCTGATCCAAACCCGCTCCTCCTGCTTCTCCTCCTCAACATTGGGGGGTTGAAACAGGGAGGAGGCAGACGCCTCGTTGATCTCGTGCTCCCTGCTCCTGTTCTTCCTCCATAGCCACTCGTCCATTGCCCGACACAGCAAAGCGCGGAATTCACGAGGGTCCCTCCTCCGTGAGGAGGGGGGGGAGACGAAGAGGAGAGAGGATCGGAGGCTCGTGGGCAGCACGACCTGAGCCCCCTTGACTAGTACCTTCCTCCTCCTCCCTTCGTTCAGCGACATCGCTTCGTCCATATGTACTTGCAGCTGAATTTCCCCCTCGCTGCCTCCTCCTGCCCCTGCCCCTGGTACGAGGACGCTGCCGGCAAGGTGTACTTGCGGGAACTTCGATAGAAGGAGATGCCCGACATGAGCATTGCTAGCTGAAACATGGAACGTGCAGTTGATGAGGGAGGAGGAGGAGGAGGAGGAGGAGGAGGAGGAGGAGGAGGAGGAGGAGGTCCTGATAATGACCAAACTATCCTCCTCCTGTTTGAGCATCTTCGACAAGCCCCCCCTCGTGACGTGGCAGAGCATCTCCGCCGTTTTCTCCTCCTGCCCAGCTGGGATCGAGCTGGGATCAAACAGCTCCAGCAGCACATCTAGCTGGACGTAGGCTGCCCTCTGAAACGTCTCCGAAGTGAAGGAAGTTGAAGTCAACCTGAGCATGAGGGATGAGTGTGAAAAGGAGAGAGAGAGAGGGAGAGAGAGGAGAGGAGAGGAAGGGGTTGATGTGAGAGGGAGGAGGGAGGGAGGAAGGGAGGAAAGGGGGGAGAGAGGGAAGGAGCGAGGAGGGGAGGGAGCGAGGGAGGGAGGAGCAGAGAAAGAGAGCAACACGAAGCAGGGGAGAGGATCGACGGGAGGAACAGCAGGGACAGTCGTAGCAGGAGTGAAGGGAGGAGCAAGGGAGGGAAGGAGGACGAGGCTGATCACATGCTTCTCTTGGCCGCGAGCTCCATCCTTGAGATCGCCTGCTCTTTGACATTCCGCGACTGCAGGAACCTGATGGTGTCTTCGGAGAGGGAAGGGAAGGAGGCGTTGTAGGATCCAACGCCCCAGTCCTGCAGCTCCTTCTCGTCTCCCCCCAGCAGCGGGTTCATCTTCCTCCTCTTCAGCCTCTCTGCCTTGAACGCAAACTCGTCGTTGACCTCCTTCACTCTGCAGCAGCAGTCACTCGGAGTCGCTCTCCTCCTCGTGCTCTTCTTGTTCCTCCCCTTCTCCTCAATCTTCGTCCTCGTCCTCGTCCTCTCCCTTGTCCTCTCCCTCCTTCGTCGTCGTACCTCTGTGAGATCTGAGCAAACAAAGCTCTGCATGACTCAAGGTGGGCGGTCAACGCCGCCTTCATCTGCTCCGCCTTCTTCTTCCCCTCCTCCCCGTCTCGTGCACGGGGCTCGTAGAGATCTCCCCTCCTCTCCTCCTTAAGACGCTGCAGAGATCGCAGGGACTCCGCGGAGAGGCCGAGGAGCTCCTCGACCCTCCTGATCTCCATCTCCACCTCCGCCATTACCGACGAGCATTTCTCTCTTACCTGCCCCCGCAAGCTTCTTGTCAGCACTTGCTTGCACAACAAGTGTACGAGCTGTCTTCGAGCTCCTCTCCTCTCTGCTTCCCTCTTGCTTCTCTCTCCTCCGTACCTCCCCTCCCCTCCTCTCTCTCTGCATTCCTCTTGTTCCCCTCTCCTCTTTCTCACCACATAGAGCGAAGGGAGTTGTAGTGAATGCAAGTCACTTGTTGTCTTCTCAACTTCCTTGAGAGTCCTTGCCGTCTTCTCCTCAACCTCCTGCCTTGCTGTTACCCTCTTGCCACCACCACCACCTCCTCCTCCTCCTCTCTTTCCTCCCCCCCCCAACCCCTTTCCCCCTCCTACCTTGACAGCAGACAGGCCCTTCTTCACCGATTCATTCAGCTGCTGGAAACGGGAGAGGATCGCGTTCAAGTGCTCCTCCTCCATCTTCTTCAACGTGGCCTCGAACATGGTCACCTGGACTCATCGCTCAGGGGTGAACGACTCGAAGTCTCGACTTACCTCCCTCCTCCTGCCCGTAACGATGTCCTCTATCCTCGCTATGCTGTTCTTCATCCAGCTTCTGATGCTCTCGAGCAGGTCCACGTTGGTCGAGATCCCCGACATGTCAAGTTTCTGAAGGACAGTTAGGCTACGATATGAGAGCAGGAGGACGGGGCTACACCAAGAGGAGGGAGGGGAAGAGGAGGAAAGAGGAAGGAGGAAGGAGGATAGGGAAAGAGAGAGAGATGAGGATAAGGCGAGGCTGGGGGGACGGAGGAGTGGGGGTCAAGGAGGATGGAAAGGAGTTGGAGGCGTGAAGAAAGAAGGGAGGGGCATGGACTTGGAGGTGGGCAGGGAGGTGGGCAGGGAGGTCTGGTGAGGAGCACAGAGAAAAGGGAACAGGAGGTCTACAAGAGGCGGAGCAGGGCAAGGAGGAGCGAGAGCAGGAGCAAGAGCAAGAGGGCTGAGAGCGGGACCAACCTGGGCCTCGTCGAGGAGGTTGGTGGTGTTGGAGATGCAGTGCAGCCTCTCGCTCGTCATCTTGTGATATTCCTTCTCGCTCAGCTGCTGCTTCCCCTCTATCACTGTGCACTTTGAGTTCTCCTGCCATCCAGCAGGTCCAAATCAGTTCTAAGCTCCAATATTCCCTCTTTGTTACACCCCCCCAACTCGCTACCCCCCCCCCCCCCCCCCCCCACCTCCTCCTTTCCGCCTTCTCCCTTCTGCTCCTAACCCTCCCCAACCATTCCCACCATATCCTTGCTTCCCTCCCCTTCATACAAGTACTTGCATACCAGCTCAACTTTTTGCAGGATGCCTTTCATAGTCGACTCGATGCTCCGCAGTTTCGCTTCATCCTGCTTCTCTTGCGCCTTTCTCCTCGCCTCCTCCTCTTGCCTCTGCCTCTCCAACAACTCGGCCTTGCGCTTCTCCTCTTCCTCTCTCTTCCTCGCTTCCTCCGCCCTCCTCTTCTCCTCCTCCGACGGTACAACCTGCCCAGGGTCAAACACCTCCTTTCAACCTCCGACGCCTCTGCCATCACCTGAGGCGGCGGAGCCGGAGCAGGACGAGGGGACTGAGCAACGGGCTCGACAGGTCGGGGACTAAAGGATGAAAGTAAGGAGGACAAGCCAGCCTTCTCCAGCTGACGAGCAGAAGCAAAGGATGTGCCCGTGTCCTTGCCGATGGATACAGGGGGCTCTAGAGCAGCCTTCGTGGGCAGTTGAGCAGGAGATGGCTTCAACACTTGGGGAGGAGGAGCGACTTTCTGCTGCTGCTGGCTGCTCAACGGAGCGAAGTCGGAGGGGGATGCGATCGCATCCCCCACCACCTCGCCAGGCACGGCAGGCATCTTCTTGGTGATGAAGGAAACCTGAGCAGATGCGCATCAGGGAATGAGCCGTTGGAGGAGAGACGATGGCGAGGCCAAGGGATAGGACATGGATGACGAAGGGAAGAGGTAGTAATGAGCTGGAGGAGGAAGGAGCAGAAGGATCAGGGAAGGAGCAGGAGCAGGAGCAGGAGCAGGAGCAGGAGCAGGAGCAGGAGCAGGAGGAACAGGGATGCTAAGAAACGAAAGATGGGCGGGGGGAGGGGGTAGAGAACAGGGGAATGGAACTATAGAGGCAGACCTTCTGGACGTCACAGAAATCGAGATCGGAGCTGAGCTTTGCCCGGTGGAACTGCACTGCCCCATCCTTCACCTCCATCCCCTTGCTCGTCAGGAAGGCCTCGGCAGCAGCGTCGTCCTCGAAGCCAAGCCTCCCCTTCAGCCCCTCCACCCTCTCAGCCGCCTCGTTCCTCGCCGCCCTGCTGCAGATGATGGCGTCCAGCGCTCGGATCCTCATGGTGGGGAAGTACTGGTGGAGGAGGGCGAGGAGGAGGTAGGGAACCCGATCCCCTCTCGCCAAGCGGAAGAAGCGAACGTAGTTGCCGTCCTCGATGCAGGCAGCGAGGTCGACGGCAAGGCAGACGAGAGGATGGGAGCGGAGGGGCCGGTCGAGGGAGTGGTACATCTCCTGGATGGACGACTGGTAGTTCTCCCGCATGGCGAGGACGAGAATGTAGTAGGAGGTAAACTCGGCCTCCGCAGGCGGCCGCATGTTCCTGCTGCGCATCTCCGGGTAGACGTCCTTGACGAGCTTGCATAGGTTCTTGTAGATGTAGTCCTCGTGCGAGCCCATGCTCGTTCCTCCTTGGGAGCAGCGGGAGAATCCGATGCTCTCCTTCTTGCCCATCTGATCCACGAGTGAGGGAGGGAGCGAAGAGGAAGCGAAGGGGGGGGGAGGGTGAAGGAGGAGGAATTGGTAATCGAAAAAAGGAGGAAAGAGAAGTAGAGGAGGAAGCAAAATATGAGGAACAAGTGGAGCAGAGAAATAAGAGGAGGAGCAGGAAGAAGCGTTCAAACATCCACCTGGTTTGTTATTCCGTGGGTCTTGAGTCTCTCTGCTGCCCAATCTTTCCCCCTCGCCATCTCCACGCACATGTCTTCGGCAAGCCGGTAGTGTGCATCTAGCGCTATGCGCAGGACTCGCTCGAAGACGCTGGCGATGGCGGGGGAGGGAGGGTAGTGGTCATGCAGGAAAGCCATATCGGAGCTGATGGCCTTGATGACGTCATGGAGGACCTTGTAGACACCGACGTATCCCCCGGGACATCGCTCCATCATCTCTCGCTTCATCCACAGCCTCCTGCAGTGATCAATGGTGTCGTGCATGGCCTGAAGCGTCCTCATGTCGCTTCCAGCGTGCGCAGCTCCCGCTCCTCCTCGGTGAAACTCGTAGCGGCAGACGACGAGGGCAGGCCAGGAGGGCTCGAGAGTTTCGCTGTCTCGCTCCATCACCGAGAAGGCAAAGTTCCCACGAGAACGCCGATCGTCGAACTCCTTCTTGGAGCACATGTAGGGGCACGTGGGAGCCTTGCTCTCGCTGGCTCCTCCTCCTCCTCCTCCTCCTCCTCCTCCTCCTCCTCCTCCTCCTCCCTCTGGCTCCCCCGCCGCCCAGGATGGGTCGACCATCTCGTCTTGCGCTACTGCAACAACTTGCTTCTGTACCGTAGGAGGGGGGAGAATGGAGGGAGACGTGATGTCGACTTTTGAGTGAGCCATGTCTTCTTCATACGCCTTCGCTTCAGCCGCCATTCTCTCCTCCAGCTCCTTGGCTGCTTGCTGCTGCTCAGCACGTCTGCATGCTCTGCACTTGAAGGGACCGTCCTGATGGCCAAAGTCGCTCGCCTCTACCCGCTTGCACCTGGAGCATGTCTTCATGTAGTCTTCCTCTTTCTCCTCTCCCCCTCCCTCGAGGATCTCAATCTTCTCTTGCGATCCCCTTCCCTTCTTCATGGGAACTTCGGGGGCTGCTGCGGGCTGCTCTTTTGCAACCGTCATCTTTGCCCTCGTCGATCTTGACTGCAGCCCTTGTGACATCAACGTCTCCTTGACTGTCATCTCAAATGTCACGCGTCGAGCAAGAAGCTGCGTTGATCGCATACCAGGATCATTGCCTTCTTGCTTTGCCTTATTCTGTAAGAAAAAATACAGATGGAAGGAAGAAACAGCGGGGGAGACGGGAGAAGTAAGGAAGGGAAAACACAAGAGAAAGGGAAAACTGCAGATTCAGGGTCGAACAACTCGCTAGACACAAAATCTCACAGGTTGCTTTGTCACTTGCTGACTCTTCTTTGCTTCCAACTTCGCTCTCCCGCAAGCTGTACGGGCATACTCGTCTGCCAAAGATTTCTTGTCCTCACCCTTGGCCGTGATCCCGTACATCTCCTCCAACGTGTAGTAGATGTCATCCTTGAACACAATCGTCATCTCTTTCCACGAGTCCCTTCAACATGCTACCTCAGATATGTTCTGATCTCGCATGATCGCTTTCGCCAGCCCTCCCACATTTGTCATCAGCAGGTCGTACTGCATCAAACGAGCATCAGACCATATCCTCCTCCTCGCCCTCCCACTCACTTGAGTCAGGGGGCAGAAACGAAATTGACACTCCTCCTGCTCCTCCTCCTGCGGTGGGTTGCCGCCTGACTCCAGCGGGTCTTCGTATCCTTGCGCTGCTACGAATTTGGTCGTGGGGGGGAGGCGAGGAGGAGCAGCCTTCACTTCCCTGCTGAGCGATCAAAAACAAAATTCTGTTACAAGACAGCAGCACATGCGGGATTCTTGGATCGGCTGCTCCTTCGGCCCTTGCTCCACCCTTGCAGCATCGTTGGGCTTTACGGCAGCCTTCCTAAATGTCTTGTCTGCCATGGCCAACAATCAGCGGGTCCTAGCGGCATGTCCACCACTCACTCTTGAACTTGGTAGCCCCTGCGCTTGCAGTGCCAAGTCCATTCCCAGCATTGCTAGAGTCATCTGTGCAGTACTCACACACCAGCTCATCTGGCTCAAACAAAGAAATACCACTGCCAGAGTGTGCAGATCTCTTGGTAACCAACCCACTTCCTGTATTCCCAAACGCGCTTCCTGTATTCCCAAACGCGCTACTAGCGTTCCCGAAAGCGCTTCCTGTGTTGCCAAACGCGCTTCCTGTATTCCCAAACGCGCTTCCTGTGTTGCCAAACGCGCTTCCTGTATTCCCAAACGCGCTACTAGCGTTGCCGAAAGCGCTTCCTGTGTTGCCAAACGCGCTTCCTGTATTCCCAAACGCGCTTCCTGTGTTGCCAAACGCGCTTCCTGTATTCCCAAACGCGCTTCCTGTGTTGCCAAACGCGCTTCCTGTGTTCCCAAACGCGCTTCCTGTGTTGCCAAACGCGCTTCCTGTATTCCCAAACGCGCTTCCTGTGTTCCCGAAAGCGCTTCCTGTGTTGCCAAACGCGCTTCCTGTGCTGCCAAACGCACTTCCTGTGTTGCCAAACGCGCTACTAGCGTTCCCGAAAGCGCTTCCTGTGTTGCCGAACATGGACATCGCTTGATTGTGCTTTGACTCGAATCTAGTCTCTCTGGCAGAGTTTCAATGGTCCTCAACCTCTCCTTGCATTGCCTCTTTCCTCCCCTCCCCTCCCCTCCCCTCCCCTCCTACTCCACTTCATCTGCCTGCCCATCGACCATCGCCTCGCTCGAACCCCTCATCCCCGCTCAGATCCATCGCTCGGATTGAGTGGTCTGCCTGAAATGGCGGACTCCGTACTGAACTGGAACGCACACTGCCCGGGGCCCAAGTGAACAGGGTTCCGAAGTTCCGAAGTTCGACGCCGGTCACCGGCGGAGCCTCCCAGGGCCTGGGAGGTTCAGCTGGGAGGCTCAGCGGCTACCGTCAGCGTACCCCCAGGCGGCCCTGAGGCTCCCGGCACTGAGAGTCGACTCGGTTTTGAATGGACGTACGGCGTTTCAAAGTGTATTCTTGTGTGACGCAGCAATTTTTCGAGGCAAAAAGAATAGGCAAACAAGGAAACTTAATGATACAGACTCTCCAGTTCGACGTAGAGAGAACTTTGTCAATCAGCGGGTGTCGGAGCGGCCGCCCCTTACATGATGTTGTCGGCATTGTCTTCAAAGGTTTTCTCAATGGCGGCCCATGCGGCTGCACCTCCCTGCGAGCGAGGTCAGAACGCTATCATACAAGGGTCGAGCCACAGAGAGACATACCGGCAGCGCGCACATCGACCCAGCAATGATCTGAATCAGACGTTCATTCAGCCCCTTGGTTTTCTGATTCGGTTTGAGTAAGAACCAGGAAACACTTCATAGGGCGTTACCTCTTGCAGACCAGTCGTGTCCACACTGCTGCACAAGCACGCAGCAATGATCAAGGAGCCTCCCACCTACGTCAAGTCAGAGCCATCCTAGTCCTTGCCGAGCACGTACCCATGTATTCATTCCTATGGCTTCACCCAGAACCGCATGCGCAAATGCAGCTCCCCAGATCGGTTCTGTTGAGTAGAGGACTGTAGTTTCCGTGGAGGAGAGCACTCCAAGAGAAGTTGTTTGAAGGAGGACTGTGAGGGCAGTGGTGATCAACCCGGTCCACACCACTGATACCGCCACCGGCATTTGCGACAGAGACTCAGTCACAGTCGCGACGTCCGGTAGTCCACCATTGTCCACCAACGCCCAGATGAGCCCTGTCAGCCACACGACAACCAGCTGAATCGCCGTGAGCTGCGGCCCCTTGCCGGGAAAGTTTCGCATCACTTTTTCAATCTTCCAGAATCCCATACCAAAGCCAATGGGTTGAGCAAGAGCCCACAGATCACCGATGCTCGGCTGCGATGTCCCTCCAATCTCGAGAACTCCAACACCGAAAACTGCCAAAGCCGCTGCAATCCACGACTTCGCCTTCACGGTTTCCCCCGCAAACAGGTCAAGGAGAGGACAGATCACAACTGCAAGTGAGCACAGAAATGCAGCAGTGGATGCGTCTGCTCCTGTGTTCAGTCCAATGCCCTGAACTACATATCCCATTGCAACCCACAAACCAATCTCCACACCAGGCTTGATCATGTCTCTGGGTACTGTCTTGAGGAAGGGACTGAGTGCTGCAAGGGCAAGGGTGAAACGAAGGATGGCAGCTACTGAAGGGTCCAAGGCCTCTTGCATTATCTTGATACTCCCGAAATTCGTTCCATAGAGTGCTGCAACCATGAGCAAGATCAACCTGGTTCTCTGTAACGTCCCCTCGTCAACTTTAACCCCGTTTTCTGACGATCCTGCGACCTACAAACGTAGTCAGGCTGCAGTGACCAGGAGTTGAATGTCCTGCAGAGCTTACATTGTCTCCCATTTCGCTCTTCTCCAACACAGGTGCCTCTGTAGATGTCTGTTGCTGCATACGCACTGCACTGACCCTTGAGACCCTTGCGGGGGATCCGATCGAACGGGCAACCTTGGAACAATGATCAGCAAAGCACAAACACAAGGCAAGGCATTTTCGGTGCAGGAACAGAGCTCAAACATGGTTTGCTGGAACAAGAGAGACACGTGGGAACCAGAGAGAGAGATGGTGCGTCTCGTATATTCTGTACCTTGCTCGGACGCAGAGTCGCTGCTGGTCGCAATTGCATGGCAGATTTCGCCCATGGCATTTGGGGAGCCGAAGTAAGAAGTATATTCATGGCGCTTGTCAAGGTTTCAACAGTTGGAAGACGCAACATAGAGAATAAACGCAAACAACATCTGACAGCAGTGAAACACATGGGGAAATCGAACTGACCTGAGGCCAATGCCGCTGCCTGGGTTGAATGCCATCGCCATGCCCACACAGGAGATGGTTATAGCAATACTTCCTGAGGATCGCATCTCTATTGAACGAATGCCCAGACTAGTTGCGCAAAATCTGTAAACCACACGGAAGAAAAGGTCACTAATCTGTCAAACAGCGGAAGCCTCTACAAAACATCAGTGCCTGCCTGCTCTTTGAGCCTTTTAACTATCTCAAGATTTCTTCCTGCAAGTCTTCATTCCGCAGCCATGGAGCATTCCACTATCATTCGAACAAGTCGTAGCCAATACCCTACGTCCCTCTGCTCCTCCAGTTCCCTCTCTGCGAGTTGTCATGACAGCCTCATCCTCATGGCCTAAGCGCCCGATGGCGGAGTAGCTGCAGCTGTTTCCCGGTAGGGGTCACTGCCAGCCTGTGAATGTGAAATATTGGCGAAAGGATACAAGATTGAGACCTAAATCAAATATTTTCATTAAGGGGTCTCTCATGCACAACTTATTCAAATTGATACTATAAAATCGTAATTAGACAATACAATTTCCTGATTTTCAGATAATTGCATGACAAAGGTACCCTTGAAATCAATACGTAAAAACAAGAAATATATTTAAGAAATGTTTTTGGTATCAAGATATTATTACAAATTTCAGTCAAATACATTCAGTCACTAAAATATTGCAGATGCGAGTCTTCTTTAGGAAAAAAAAGTCCATTGCGAGGACCACCACTTCCACCCCCCAAATCCATTCCCAATCATGATACCCTACCCGATTGAGTCGTTCCCAAGTACCCTACCCTCCCATGCCCATGTAAACTTGCTTACACTGGTACATATAGCTATCACCCCCTCTGGGGTTTCTGTGGATATTTTGCAATGGGAACTAGTACCCCACCCCCTTCCAGTCACACTTATTATTATCGCTTCCACAGATTCCTACCCTTCTACGTCTTGCAGGTGCTCCATGCCACCTCCCCCTTTACTGCCCCACCCCTCTGATTCATTTTCTTACTCCACCCACTCATTCTCTTGACTACCCCCAATATGTCTTCATACTACCCTGATAGAATCCTCTATACCCTACCCCATACAGCAAAACGACCACCTCTCATCACCACCCCGATTGTTTCCTTATATGGGTGGTGGTGGGGAGGGAGGGGAGGGCGGGGGGGGGGGGGGGGGGGGGGTTTAACATTACCCTCTCCCAAAAACAAAACCTACCTACCCTCGTGCTATGAGACCCATAACATGACCCCTCCCCGATAAAAACCCGACCCGCCTCACTGTCAATCACTACCCCTACTGCAATGCTTGAATTTTTGGGTGCTCTGCTACTTGCAGCTTTCAGCAGAGAGGAGGCCATACGATTGACACAAGTACCGGTACTTTTCCCATAGATATCACCCCGTGATGACTCCAAACGTACCATGGTTGGGGCCTCTTGAAACTACCAGCGGAAACCGCTATGCAATGGTAGGGTAGTCCGAATACAATTTTGCATCGTTTGGCATTGTTGCGGGGTAGAGCGTTGTCTTTTGCAAGTCTACTGCGCACCGCTTCGATTGTTAAGATCATTATTAAACACGATGAATCACAGGAGGTAACACAAAATAAAAACATATGATTTGGTCGAGCCTGCCTCATCAGTACTGATGGACCAGTCGGTTACCATTGTTTTGACGGTTATCAGGAGATCCGTTACCTGTGAAGTGATGTGACGGTTACAGTCAGAATTCCTGAAGGGGTGGGGTATTTTTGAGGTCCGAAAGGGGGTGATAACTGATGAGGGTAGGGTATGGAGGGTTGGGTAGTGGGAAATATAGCTGTCATACAAAACTGTGGGAGGTAGTGAATTGAAGGGGGTGTGAAGTCAACAGGGTGGGTAAGAGAAAAGAATGAGGCCTCAAGGCCTAAGGATAGTCATGTTTCCATAGCGATATATGGAGAAAATCTCGGAATAGTCTAGGCCATAGCAAGTGATGGGGGTCATGGGGCACAGGGGTACTTGAATATTCGGTAATGAGTAACGGGGGTAGGGTACTGGATGGTAAATTTAGAAGGGGTTCGCGGACTGTGGGGGGTGGGGTATATTTCTTACAAGATTAGACAGGTAGGGAGGAAAGAGAACCGACCAGCCATGTCCGCCAAGGTGAGGGAAACATTGGCAAGACGAAGCGAATAATGGGGAAGGAGGATGGAGAAGGGGAGCATGATAGTGTTGAGGTGTGAGAAGGTCTCTATGCATGTGAAGAGTTGGGAGATCTTGTGGGGCTGGTAAGCTGAAGGATCCCAGTCGACACCTCGTGGATGTGTCTGGAGAATCCGACGGGAATGAAGCAGGGTGTAGCAGTGGTTGTGCGGTGAATGAGAGCCCAACATGATAGGCATTGTCTCGGAGACTTCATTTTGCTATGCTGTTTCTTCGTGATGTGTAGTAGCATGAGGAGAAAGTGCAGCAGTCGTAACGTTACAGTGAGTCACTGAGTTGGTTGAAAGCGAGGAGCAGTTGTTTCTTCCTGTTTCCTTGACGTTGGTGAAGCCTCGTTGACTCTTATTGTGCAGGTTGTTGCTTTTGCCGCTGTTATTGCCCAGGCCGCCGCTTTTGCGCCAACCCTCTCCACCTTCAAGGTACTGAAAGCAAGAGATACGGCTGACACCATGCTGACATCAACAAACACCAGCCGGCTGCCCGCCAGGCATCCACCGGCTTGTCCATGGCCATGGACAGGTCCAACACTGCTCCCATCGTCCAGATCTTCGACCACCGTGGATGCAGCCGTGTTGCCAAGGAGTACACTGGCAAGAAGTGCAACGGGGTAAGGCGTTATGACCTCTGATTTGCCATGTTTGACCTGCTCATGATAGGCTGAGGACGAGATGCTCGTCAAGGTCCAGTCCAAGGTGATCCCTGCCCCTGAGGCCCTCGCCGCCTCTGTCCTCCAGGTCACCGTCGGAAACCTCAAGCGCAAGTAAGCGAGTCGGGTCTTAGCACTTTGATCTGAGCAGTGAAGTTTGAAACTCCACAAGAAGTCAGTGGTACATCCAGACCGCGCATCTTGTCTCTTTATGATTTCATGGCTACATGTCGACAGCCCCAATCACTTGACTGCCTTCACTTTCTTGAGAAGCTTTGTGTGCATCGGGCACGGATCAGGAAGGCCCTTGGCAAGCCGCTCCTGCGAGATCTTGTAGAAATAGCCATTGCGGAACTCAAGGTCCTTGACGACGGTGTTGAAGTGTCCGATGGATAGCGTGTACTCCTTCATGCGCTCGTAGAACTGCGAGGCTTCTAACTGGACGCTCCCTGAGACGGCTTGCTCGTTGAGGACACGGACCAGCTCATGCATGACCTCTTCCACTTCACTCCAGTGGCTCTCCACCACCTGACCGACCTTGGTAAACTTGTTCGCCTTGGCCACGAGATGGGTCGCGCACGTCCAGACGAGCCTCTCAAGCCTTGAGATCTCAAACTTGTTCGAGTCCATAATCCTGCAAGAGAGGTTGACCATCTTGAGGCGTTTGGCCAGGTCGCCCGACCACTTCCCAGTGACTGCAGTCAAGCCATCGGGGTCCAAGGAGGTCTTTCCATCAACGGGATCGTGGCCCAGCTTATCGATGACGAAGTAGATCAGAGCCTGAGTGTTGCCCTCCAGCCCAAACTGCTTCAGGAAGGGCCCCAAGTTGCCGGATCCCATGAAGACAAGATCCTGTCTCCGTTCAGGGGGGCATGCTTCCACAAGCTCCTTCAGCGCAGAATTGGGGACGCACAGATAGATTGGGCCGCTCTTGGGTCCGCCCCCGGGGGCCTCTTTCAGCTGGAATCTCAGCTCGGAGGTGCTTCTGACCATAGCATCGCCCGGGTCTCCTCTGTTCTTCATCATATGACCAACCCTTCCGTCTCCCACGATGACAGCAGGCGAGAGCTCCATGTCCCTTGTCGACTCCTCGTTCTGCCGCCAGGCACGTCAGCTCGTTCCCACTGACTTCCACAGCACTCACCCTCGCAAGCTCCAGCGCGTTGGAAACTTTCTCAATCTTCTCCTCAAGTACTGCCTGCCCAGCTGCTCAAGAGTCGTTCAAGTGATGTGTGGTTGTCAAGACCTTAGAGTCCTTGAGCTTCTTCAGCTCAGACTCCTTCAACTCAATTTCACTGGAGATACTGAGAATGTTCATTGTCAGCCCCTATCAACCTCACTCGACCCTCATCCCACCTCGCATACAGGGTGTTCAACTCGTCAAGCGAGCTCTCGAGCTTGCTGGTCATTGATTCGTCTTTCTTTGTGCTCGTCTGAACATCATCAGCACATGATCAAGAACGGCAAGAGTCACCTCCGAGCCGATGCATCTCAATGCAGTGAAGGCCTTCGGGGTCACAGGCCGCTGCCCCTTCACGAAGCTCCTGCTTCCTCCACTCCTCTGGCAGCACCAGACCATCAAAAAGGGAGAAGCAGACGGGAGAAAACAACCAGGAGGATGCTTGACGGTGTAGGGAGAAAGGCCTGAGTGCCAGATGACAACAGGAGCGCCACTGTCGCTCTGGAAGACAGGCACATTGTCATATGAGGTGAAAGCTGCAATAGGATGGATCTCACAGTCTGATCATCAGCATACTCTCAATGCCGACGACAACCTGCTCATTCATCCACATTCAGTCATGCTGGCGGCAAAGGGAGGGCTCTTGAAGCCCATGGCGCGATGGGACGTTAGTAAAGGGCTGTCCAGGTCCTAGTGGATCTACTTCCTCCTGCAAGATCCCACACAACGATGCGAATCATTTTGACATTCAAAAATGATCCTTTGCACTTCCCTCTCTGCCTCTGCCCCCTGCCACTTCTTGTCCCCTCCCCCTCCCCCTCTCTTTTCGCCTCGCATGACCGCGGCCTCCAGTCTCATCGCCATCATACAACACTTGTAAAATATTGGAGTACTAAATACTTTACTCAACTTCCCTACCAGAACCATCCTTTAAAACTTATTTTAAATACGGTGCCGCCGCAGTACAGTGATCGGACCGTGCTCAGTCACGGCACCCGGCGGCGGGCCGGCGGTGACCGCGGGGCCCCGGCCGGCCGGGCCAACCGTTGAACCGTTCGCAAACCCAGTTCCGAAGTCACCGTAGGCCGGCGCCTGTGTCACTGCCAACTCCCAGCCTGATTGTCCTCGTACTAAGTTTGCCTTTACTCCTCGTACTGATCAGCGGGCGCCGGGGCCGGCGGTGACCCGAGAACAGTGCCAATAGTTCTGAACGAGGCTCCGTCTTTCCGTAAGTTCCGATCAGTTAGACACTTGCCCGGTAATGATCATCTTCAACTAAGGAAGCGGTCAGGCGAGGTTGAAGAAGATTTGCTAGGAGAGGAGAGAGGAAGAAGAGGGAGAGGGTTCGAGGGAGGAAGAGGAGGTCTGCACCTGTCGAAAGGCCTTTTGAAGGTCGTCGTTGACTATGACGAAGTCAAACAGCCCTGAGGTGTAGAAGTCAGCAGGGTAAGAGGAGGAGGAAGAACATGTAGATGAAGGAGGGAAGGGCGGCCGGGAGAGGGAGAGGGGAAGGGACGAGGGAAGTACACACCAGGTTGATGTGAGTCCTGCAGCTCTCCGATGGCGTTCCGCAGCCTCTTGGTTACCTGAAGTTACTTGAGCCCAGCGCCAAGAAAATGATCCTCCTCCCACCTGCTCCTCCGACTCTGTTCCTCTCCCCGTCAACCTCCTCTCTAGCTCAGCGATGCTAGGAGGAGCGATGAACACGTAGGCTGCTTCAAGCTTGCTCCTCCTGCAGGCCCGCACCCCCTGGACGTCGATGTCGAGGATGCAGATCTTGCCGTCGCAGATCACTTTCTCCACGGCCTGATGAAGGCGGTATCAGCAGCAGCAGGGAGCAGGGAGCAGCAGCAGCAGCAGCAGCAGCAGCGGAAGAAGAGGAGGAGGTGACCTCGAACGAGGTGCCGTAGATGTTCCCGTGGACCCTCGCATGCTCGAGGAATTTTGACTTCTTGAGGAGCTTCTCCATGACCTGGGAAGGCTCAGCTGGGGATGAGCTGGGTACATTTCTCACCTCGTGAGTGATGAAGTTGTAGTGGACCCCGTCCACCTCTCCTGCTCGCCAGCAGCTCACAACCACATGGAGGAGGAGAGAGACAGAGGGACAGAGGAGGGAGAGGAGAGAGTGAGGGTGACCAGAGTCAATGGGTTGCCTCCTCTATCGATACCATCCCCCCTCCTCGATGCCCTCTGTTTGACTCCTCTGTTTCACCCTGCCTGTCCCTGCCTCCCTGCTCTCCTCCACTCCTCCTCCCTCCTCTCCTCCTCCGTTCCGTGCCGTCCTCTTCCATCTCCTCCTCTCCCTTCCTCCCCTCCCTCGGATCAACCTGGTCGAGGCTTTCTTGTAGTGTGAGAGACGCTGAAACCAAGTCGACCGCAACCCTTGTCCTTGAGCAGCATGTTGATCAATGTGCCTATATACCTGTCAAGACCTCCTCCCTCCCCTCTCCTCCTCTCCACTTTCCCCTCCCCTCGTCTCCACTCCCCTCCACTCCACTCTCCTCCTCTCCTCTCCTCCCCTCTCCTCTCCTCTCCTCTCCTCTCCTCTCCTCTCCTCCTCACCTTTTCCAACTCCCGATGGCCCGCATATGACGACACACTTTGGGGTAGCAGTCACGCAAGCCTGCCCCCGCGTCAGCCTCGAATCTCATCAGCAGCATCCCCACCATCCCCAGCTCCTCCACGTGCCTCCTGTAGCGAGTCAACAGCCTCGTCGCATGCTTCTTCCACCTCTCCGCCATGGACAGCTGCAAGAAGCAAGTTCAGTGTCATTCCACGTCTCATCCTCCTCCCGTCCGACCAGCCATCGCGCACCATCCACGTCCCCGTCACCCGCTCCCCATTACCTTCCTTCCCAGCACGATCGCACACCCTCGGAGCAAGACAGAGGCGCGTTGGACGAGGACGAACGTGTCGGGGGCGTGTATGAGAGGATCGCGCCTGCTCCAGCGAGTCAGCAGCAGCTCTCTCTCCCCCAGGAAAGTTCCTGTTCAGCTCCTCCATGTAGCCCTGGAAGTTTTGTCCCTGCAAGTTTCCAACTTTTCCATCACAACGGAGGACAACTTTCCCTCAACACAAGAAGGCAACAAGGTTGCTTGCACATCACTTCACCTCCAGCACTGAGTCATCGTCTCGGTCATTTAGGATCGTCGCCCATGCCTGCAACCCCCACTGAGAAGGCAGAGGAGTCGCTCCCGCTCTCACTGACTTGCAGCACGTGCGGCGTGTTGTGCCGTGTCCTCACTCCCATCTCCTTGTACGCCTGACAGCCTTCACACTCCCTCCTCAAACATCTTGTGGCTCACCCGCACGATCTCGAACGAGTCTTTCTCCGCTAGAGCGACGATGAGGCGCGCGTACAGGATCCGCTCCTCCAGGCTCAACTTCTTGACCTAAAGGCACATTCAGGTTCATTCCTCTCCTCTCCTCGTCATCCTCCTCTCTTCCTCTTCTTCCTCTGCTTCCTCTTCCTCTTCCTCTTCCTCTTCCTCCTGCTCCTTCTCGACTTCTCCTTGCTTCCTGCTCTCTCTCTCTCTTCTCTTACTTGTCCGAAGTCGATGAGGCCCAGACGCCCATCGGGCCTGACGAGCAGCATGAGAGGAGAAGAGGAAACACAACACAGCTGCTACATGAGCAAGATGTTTCCGGGATGAGGATCACAGTTCAAACACCCTGAAATGTAAACGATCAAACTTTACAATCAATCCTCCATCTCTCTCCGTCCTCCCCGTCCTCCTCCCCGTCCTCCTCCCAGTACTCCTCCCAGTCCTCCTCCCCGACTTCATCGTCCTTCCCCGCCTTCCCCGCCGTCTCTCCTCCTTCCTCCCTCCCTCCCTTCCATCCTTTCTTCCCTTACCATGTTCAAATAGTTGGTCTCCATGAACCTCAACAACTCTGCTCGATAGCAGCAGTGTCAACGACCGCAGCCAAGAACAGAGAGGAGAAAAGACGATAATGATGAACAAAGAGGAAAGGGAGGACAATGTGAGGGAAAGGGACGGAAAAGGGCCGGGCAAGGTAGAAGATAGGAAGAGGAAAGGGGAGAATGGGAGGCAGGCAGGCAGGCAGGCGGGGAAAGGGAGGAGGAGCAGTATTCAAACCTTGAAATGGTTGTATCGGGGTCGACTGGGAGTTCGGTCCATTCAAACGGCTGGTCAAGGGTGAGAAGCGAAAGAGACAGGGATGGAGAGGAAGAGAGAGGGGGGGGGGAGCATTTGCGGGACAGAAGCGAGCATGGCTCTCCATCCTGGGTTCTGCATCTATCATCCATGGAGTATGCTTTCTCAAGCTTCTCAATACTTTGCTTCAAGTAATCCTTCTTCGCTTCCTGTTCTTCGCAAACCATGGCCAAGTGCATCAGAGATGGACCCCCAGGACGCGAAAGATTCTGCAGACGAGGGATCATATTTCCTGACCATCAAAATAAGTCC